TTTTTTTTAATCAACACTGTTTGTCAACCTATTGTATTTGTGCTGCTTTTTCAGTCATGTTCCCCCTTTTTTTTATCTTTATTTGTATTTGTTCTCAACACTTTTTATTCTTTATGCTCAATTAGTATTAAGTTCTAGATATTAATGTTTTTCTTGCCCGAAACGCATTGCGTAATAGTGGCTTTAGGCATTGTATGTACTAGCTCTATCTATATATCAATCCATTAATGTAACATCACTTGTATGTATATACCTTACCTGAATAAACATCTGAATCTGAATCTGAGTGCTGTCTGGGGCCAGAGTTAGATATTGTTCTAATAGCAGCTTTGTGTTGGGTAATTAGAGAACGTAAATGATTTTGGGTAGTTGAACCCCAAGCACAAATACCATAGTTGAGATAAGGATAGATGAGAGAGTAATAAGCGTCACTAGGGCAGGGCGAGGTACATAATATCTGATCTTAGAAAGAATGCCGTTTTAGAAACTTTTTGCTATATTTAGAATGTGTCCCTGGAAATTCAACTTGTTATCGATGAGGACACCAAGGAATTTGCCATCAACTTTACTATTGATCTGTATATTGTTTATTCTCAGATTAATTTCATTTGAGGATTTATTTCCAAACAAAATATAGAAAGTTTTGTCAATGTTGAGGGTGCAAGGGATGTCCCAATGGATGAAAAAAACCTATTGAATTCAATAGCAGTGTCTGAGGCCGAAAGCACATCATCATTGGATAGTAAAATTGTTTTTTTATTCAAAATCTTTTTTGATCCTAATATTTGGGAGATAGTGCTCCATGTTTTCTTAATGTTGCCCTGAATTTGGGTAAATTTATTTTCGTAGTGTTTTATTTTGGCTCTTCTAATTATTTTAGACAACATGGATAAGTAAATCTTTGAAAATTCTTTGGAGACGACTCCTAACCTATACTTCTTCTCAAGGTCATGTTTTTTATTAATAGATTTAAGTATACCCTTTGTAAGCCATGGAGTGTTTAAGCTTTTATTTGTAACTTGTTTCGTTAGCATTGGACAGTGGGAGTTATAAAGGTTCAGAGTTTTCTGAAGAAATGTTTGCACTGCTAGGTTGATGTTTACTGTCACCTAATTCAGCCTCCCAGTTGATATTAGCAGCAGCAGCAATAAAGTGGCTTATAGAAGTTTCATTGTGCAGCCTAAAGCTTATCTTCCTTGTATCTAGAGGGGGTTTATTCCATCTGAGTTGAGAAGGTGAGAGTTCAGTTATGCGTTGTCTTAAACCAGAAGTTTAGTGGTTTTAGTTAGAAGTTTTGTCTTAGTGGTGACGAGAGTAGTTTGTTCCAGGAAGCCAATGTATGGTTGAAGATGTTGAGGATTGGTAGATTTCTTGGCTTGATTAATTCAATGTTAAATTGTAAGAACTAGTATTTAATTGTTTGAAATTGAAGTACAGTACTGCAATTTGATTCAATAAATGTCTATGTATAGAATAATAAGCTTGACTTTTGTTCAGTCCTCTTTTTGAATCAATGTCCCCTCAAGTAAGAGTTAAATCTAGAAAAAACTAGATGAACAAGTGAGAGATAACTAAATTAAGCAGTGTTCCTGTCGCATTGTTTAAGTGGAATTAAGATTTAGTTTGCGAAGGCGACAGGTGGTGGCAGCTTATATTAGAATATATAAAGTAAAATTAACATCAGTATAACAACATCTTAGAATAACATCATTTTACTCTCTCTACTCCTACTCTCTCTACTCCTTCCTCCTCCTCCTCCTCGACTCTCCTACCTCCACCCTTCCTCGTGTGCCTCTCGTTTTCTGTTGCCACAGACGAGTTCCCCCTCCCCGTCCACGTTTTCTAAACCTTTCTACCTCCTTATCCACCCATCCTTCGTCCCTCCTACCTTATTCATTTTCTTCCTTACTTTGCTTTACTTTCTCACTATCAAATGTAGGGATAAATATAATTTGTTGTTACACTGACACCACATGCCTCTCGACAACTTTCACGACCTGCCTCCCCTGACAGCTTCCACCACTGACACCACCTGCCTCCCCTGACAGCTTCCACCACTGACACCACCTGCCTCCCCTGACAGCTTCCACCACTGACACCACCTGCCTCCCCTGACAGCTTCCACCACTGACACCACATGCCTTCCCTGACAACAACTTCCTCCACCTGCCTCCCCTGACAACATCTTCCACCTCCAGTCTTTTCTGACAACTTCCAACACTAACTCCACCTGCCTCCCATGAGAATAACTTCCACCACCTGCCCACTGATACTAAACCCTCACCAATGACACCACCTGCCTCCCCCTGACACCATGTTATCATCCTTCAACCATTTCTCCCTGGAAACAATGGGTAAGCAAAATATAACACTGTACATCTGTTTACACAATGGTGAATCATAGTTGATGACAGCCACCTCCAACACTCTCGGTGACCGCTTGAACGAACAATCCTCGCTTAATCGAACATTTATATGTTCCACTGAACATTTAGTACCAAATGCAATTTGTTTGGACCTTCCAGAAATTTGTTAGAGTGGGGTTCGTTAGAGTGAGGATACATTTTTTCCCCCAGGACGAAACTCAATAATTGCTTATCTCTCTGATAAGGTGAACAGAGGAGTCAGGTGAAAGGAAACATGCCAACTATGTACCGCTTGGGGATTGAACTAGGGACCCTTTGGTTTGTAAACCAACTGTGTTGACCACTATACTTTGGAAATGTTTAAGCTTCTGTATGCCTATGCAACATGTTCATTCTGTTAGTAGTAATTAAAGACATATATGCAGGTTAGGTCCATAATAAATTAATTTAAGAGGAATTTAAGAGGAATTAATTTACTTAAGAATTCCATGTACAGTAATAATATATGTTTTAATTTAGTCTTAATATAAAGTGGAAGCATTCCCTCTAAGCTGTAACTTTTGTAAATAAGGAACATTGGTTGTAGGTCTACACCATCTTGAGGTTATCTTGAGATGATTTCGGGGATTAGTGTCCCCGTGACCCGGTCCTCGACCAGGCCTCCTTTTTGTAACACATCCCCAGGAAGCAGCTGTCTAACTCCCAGGTACCTATTTACTGCTAGGTGAACAGGAGCATCAGGGTGAAAGAAATCCTGCCCATTTGGGTCTGCCTCCGCCGGGAATCAAACCCGGAACCTTAGGACTTTGAATAACGAGCGCTGTCCACTCAGCCGTCTGGCCCGCAGGATAAATTTTTCATATCTGTAGATACAATACTTAGAGATGTTAAACAAAATATGTAAGTGACTGGGTTATGGTGTATGTAAAGTGATTAACCACCTGATTTGCATTGGTTGGCTGGCTAATCCTCTATGTATGTACTTTTCCCTGAATAAACATTTGATTTGATTTAATTTGATTTGATTTTAGGGGATGCAGATTTTACATTTTTAAGGAGTTCAAATAATTTAGATATTCAATTAGCAAGTGAAATTACAGCTCTAATGAACTAGCTTCAGCAGCACTAATGAACATATTTCTCGACTGTTTATTTACAGTTTATCAGAGCCCAATATCTATGGCCATCATGCACTCCCATACCCGTATAGGCTATAATGAGCACATATGGACTCATGACCTAAAGAAATATTTGCTTAGTTACAAGCATTTTAAAACATTGGTGAAATAGCGGCAGAGTTTAAAATGCTATGTACAGTAAAACAAAGGGCTCCGGTACTAAAAGTTATTTTCATTGATTGGCAAAGCAAAATTTTTGATTAAGTTATAAAGGGTGTAGTAGTCTAATTTCAAAACTGTACTAAAGTTACAATAGTGATAATGATAGTGAGTATGGAACTTAGCAATAAATATGTACCTGAGAGTAAGTCAAGTTTTGTGGGTTGCATCCTGAAAAAGGTCAGTAGTTGGCCTCGAGGGACCTAGATAAGCCTAACAGGCTTCCTGTCTCATTGTTGGAAGCAGTTAACAAATGCAGTATTTATTTGTATATTTTGGAAGCAGTCTTTTTTGTAAACATATGTTGTTAAATTTGGTTGAAAAGGTAAGATTAATAATTCTAACACGAATTTTCTCAATATTTCTTATGTTTCTTTTAACTGTTGATGGTAATTGAAAAATCAATTCTCCAAAATTCATTTTTATTTCAAGTCTGATGCGATGCCTGAACGCATTTCGTAATAACTTATTACATTTTCAAAGACTTTAGTTTACACACACAACTGTAACCTGTAAACACGCAAAATACATCCATATTTATACTCGCATTTGGGTGAGGTGATATGGGACAAAAGTTTTGGGTGAGGTGATTGACATTTGCACATGATAGAACACAACCAATGAGTATAAAAACATAAGAATGGAAGTAACTGCAGAAGGCCTATTGGCCCATAGCATCAACACTTCCTCTTGATGCTTCTATATTGGTTCGGAGTCTTGAAGTGGGTAGAATATAGTTGTGCATTAATTGGCTGCTGACTGCTGGTGTTGGCTTTTTGATGTGTAGTGCCACGCAGATGTCAAGCAGGAGGCTCGACATCTGCGATACACTACACATCAAAAAGTCAACATCGAAGGCCTTCTGCAGTTACTTCCATTCTTATGTTTTTATACCCATTGGTTCGTGTTCTATCATATGCAAATGTCAATCACCTCAGCCAAAACTTTTATCCCATATCACCTCACCCAAATGCGAGTACTGTATAAGTATGGATGTATTTTGCGTGTTTACAGGTTACAGTTGTTCGTGTAAACTAAAGTCTTTGAAAATGTAATAAGTTATTACGAAATGCATTCAGGCATCGCGTCAGACTAAAAATATAAATGAATTTTGGAAATTTGATTTTTCAATTACCATCAACAGTGAAAAGAAACATAAGAAATATTGAGAAAATTCGTGTTAGAATTATTAATCTTACCTTTTCGGTCATATTTATCAACATATATTTATTATTTATATATAACTATAACTTGGTGAGGATTAAAATTCTTCTAATATCTGTAAAAAAAATTCCAGTACACCAGACTTCCGATTGCGGCAGCGCTCGCAAATATGCTTTTCGACCAATGAATGGAAGGAGCTTCAGGTTTCGTGTCAAGGCACCTCATAATGCTAATGTTTGCCTGTCTGGGGCTGCTGCAGAAGTGCCCCAGCATATGTATGAGATCTTCCTAGCAGGATGGAATGGGAAAGAGTCAGCTATAAGAAGGAACAAGAAAGATGATGTATGCAAGGTTCAGACCCCCAATTTGCTCAGCTCAAGTGAATTTCGGGGATTCTGGGTTGTTGTCACAAATAATAGTATTAAGGTAAGAATATTTACATTTGTTTTTTAAATCTCCAGATTATGTTTTAAGCAATTCAATGAAATAGTAATCCAGAGAGTTTTTTTTAAATGTCTGCTTTAAGATTTTAGTCAGCCAACAATACCATACATCTTCAAAATTAAATAAGCTCACAATACAGTACAGTACTGTACATCTTCAATAATTTAATAAGCCCACAATACTGTACATCTTCAATAATTTAATCAGCCCACAATACTGTTCATCTTCAATAATTCAATCAGCCCACAATACCGTACATCTTCAGTAATTTAATCAGCCCAGAATACTGTACATCTTCAGTAATCAATATCTTGGTTATCTGGGTACAAGCTTTGGAATGTTTATCATACACTTCAAAGTACCATCAATTTTATTACTGTATAGTGCATTATTTTACATGGAATGATTTTTGTCATAATTTATACTAGAAAAAATGAAAATGTGTAAAGAAAAGATGTGAACATGGATGACTTCAATTTTAACTACTATATGATGTTAAGCATCAGAAGAACAGTGGAACATAGAAAGAATCCCGTAGACTGCTCAACAGGGTGCTGCCTCTGCTATAGAACTGCTCCCAGGCTAAGTGTATACAAGTATCTGTTACTACGGTTTTGTTGGTGTTTGGGAATAACTGTATGTAACATGCATGTAGTGTACTATATAAAATTATCGAGTTAGAATTGCTTAACCCTTCTGCATTAGCAGCTTTTCCCCTTAAGATTAGCACTGTCGCCAAATTAAAGTAATTTATTCATTGACTTTATAGACAAAATTATGGCATGTTCGGAAAACTACCCAAAAAATTATAGGTGCTATGGTTTGACTGGTGTAGTTTGAGAAAAGTTTTTTTAATGCCTTTAATTAATCCCCAGAAACAAAAATTAATATGAAAGAAAACTTGCCCAAAACATAAGAAAGATCCTGAATCGTTCTATGCCTACATAAGAGGTAAAACCAAAACAAAGGACTCATTTGGACCCTTAATAAATAAGACTAATCAAGCTATAATGGATGATAAAAGGGCAGCAAAAACTCTAAATGATTATTTTACATCAGTGTTCACACTCGAAAGGTTGGATGACATCCCATCACCCACACAAATGTTTTGAGGAGGGGAGGAGAATGAATTTAGGGATATACCCATAACATGTGAAATAATTAGAAAGAACATTCACAAACTAAAAGACTCAAAAGCCCCAGGTGTGGATGGAATCCAATCCAAAGTCTTAAAGGAACTGGCAGAAGAACTATGCCTACTGCTGAAATTACTTTTCACAAAATCTCTGGACCAAGGGATAGTCCCCCTAGATTGGAAATATGCAAATGTCACCCCTATTTTCAAAAAAGGCAGAAAGAGCTCAGCAGAAAACTGTAGGCCAATCAGCTTGATATCACACATCTGCAAGCTCATGGAGAAAATCCTCAGGGAGGGAATCATTCACCATCTTTCAGTGAACAATCTTGTACAATCGACACATCGTACTGTTAAAAACAGATCCTGCCTTACAAACTTGCTCACATTTTTGGAAATGGTAACCAGCTACTCAGACAAAGGCCTTCCGGTGGATGTAGTATACATGGATTTTGCTAAAACTTTTGATAAGGTACCACATGAAAGACTGGTAAGGAAATTACAGGTCCATGGAATAAATGGTAAAATATTAAAATGAATAAAACAATGGTTGAAGGAAAGAAAATAAAGGGTCATGCTAAATGGAAATGAATCTGAATGGAGAAATGTGATAAGTGGGGTGCTACAAAGGTCCATTTTGCGACGTACCCATTTTGTCATATACATCATTGACATAGATGAAAATATTACAAACCACATCATCAAATTTGCAGACAACACAAAGATTTATGATAAAGTGGGAATTGATAATGATATTGAAATCTTACAAAGAGATCTACATGAACTCCACAAATGATCAGAAGACTGGCAAATTTTTTTTATTATTGACAAACGCAAGACCCTGCATGTGGGACATAACAACCCACACTACGCCTACCAAATTAATAGCATTACATCACAGCAGATTGATGAAGAAAAGGACCTTGGAGTCAAAATCCACCACTCATTAAAAGTTGGACAATAGGTGGATGCAGCAGTCAGAAAAGCTAACCAAACTCTTTGGATAATCAAGTGTACTTTGACTATAAGGAAAAGACGGTAACGGTTCAACTGTATAAATCTCTGGTGCATCCAGGGAACATTTGGATTACTGTATCCAAGCATGGAGACCTCATTTTCAGACAGACATAGCTGCTCTGGAGAAGGTGCAACACCAGGCAACGAAAGTCATTCCAGAGCTAAGTCCTCTTTCGTATCAAGAACGCTTGAAGGCCACAGGGCAAACAACACTTCAAACCAGACATGGCAGGGTGGATCTCATTGAAACTTTTAAAATAATAAGCAAGTTAGAGGATGTTGATATTGATGTTTTCTTCAGACGATCAGGTGTAACACAAACAAGGAGCAATGGTTTCAAGCTTAACAAGCCACAATGTAGGACTGAGAGTAGGAGTTGCTTTTTCACCCACAGGGTTTTCCATGAGTGTTCCATGAGTTCCAGGCACCCATGGAACTGCCTACACACCGAAGCCGTAACTGCCAAAACTGGGTTGAGTTTTAAAATATACCTGGAAAAGATCATCAAGACAAATGGGGGGACCTTCAACAAGCCGCCAGCTTCTTGTCCTCATTGAGGCCACTAGGTTTAGTAGCCCTCAGGTAAATCTGGCTTTATTGTTCTTGTACCTTCTGCTAAGTTTTTTCTTGGCTTTGTGCGAATCACTCACTATGGATACTGCACAGCATTTGGTGCAACAGGATCCTGGACATTTGCTGGTGAGGAATTTTGATGAATGTTTTGAACATAAACCCTTGTTTGAAAAAATAATACACTATATAGTGTCTGCATAAATATATTGGAGTACATTTTTACAAATCCTCTTGATATGTACCACATTTTGGGCAAGCCTTAAAACTAACAGGACAACCAAATATTGTAGAAAAAAGTTATTTTATACATAGAGCACTAGATGGGGTACACAACTTAAGAGAGGTTAGAGGCATTAAATATGCAAAAACTAAAGGATAGAAGAAAAAGAGGCAATATGATCACTACGTACAAAATAGTAACAGGAATCGATAAAATTGATAGGGAAGAATTCCTGAGACTCGGAACTTCAAGAACAAGAGGTCATAGATTTAAACTAACGAAACAAAGCTGCCGGAGAAATATAAGAAAATTCACTTTTGTAAACAGAGTGGTAGACGATTGTTAGGTGGAAAAGGTGGTGGAGGCCAAAACCGTCAGTAATTTCAAAGCATTATATGACAAAGAGTGCTGGGTAGACGTGAGACCACAAGCGTAGCTCTCATCCTGTAACTACACTTAAGTAATTACACTTAGGTAATTACAACTGTGCTTGGGTCTCCTCCTCTCTCTCATATCTCTTCTCCTCTCTCATATCTCTTCAGTTCTTCCTCCCTCTCCTATCCTTTCCACCTTTCTTCCCTCTCTCAGAAAATTTAATACAGTAGTACAGGTATTACAAACACTGAATAGCTGCTAAATATAGTAACTATGGAAAATGCATTGCCAATTTCAGACTTGACTTCAGGAATATTTGCAGGGAAGTCACTATAGATGCCAGACTGGCCTGTGACACTTCTATACCCCCCTCATGTACATGTGTCATCTTGGATAGTTGGGTGAGACTAGCCCCACGTATTTGGTCTCCGACCTTCGACAGAGACATTCTCTTTTATAGATATAGACTAGAAGGGCAGTGCCCAGGACAGTCTGTTCCTCTCCCACCCACTCTTTGTCTATCTTCCCTCCCACTTTACCCCTCTTCTTCTACATGGGTGTAGAGGAGTAACTGAGTAAAAGAACACGGCAGAACTACAGAAATAACAGAATACCAGAATGCAGGGAGATATACCAGAGGGCCAGAAATGAGTACCTGAGAGTGAGGAGTAAAGCAAAGAGACAGTATGAAAATGACATCGCGAGTAAAGCCAAGACCCAACCAAAACTGCTCCACAGCCACATCAGGAGGAAAACAGTAGTGAAGGAACAAGTGATGAAACTGAGAAAAGGGGAGAACAGATACACAGAGAATGACCAGGAGATGTGTGAAGAAATCAACAAGAGATTTCCCAAGGTCTTCACAAAAGAACAAAGAGAATCCCTGCACTAAATGAGGAGGCAAACCAAGCAACCTTGGAGGATTTTGACCTCACCAGTGATGAGGTCAAAAGGAATCTGTTGGAGCTGAATGTGACAAAGGCTGTTGGGCCTGACAGAATCTCATCATGGATACTAAAGGATGGTGCAGAAGCAATAAGTGTGCTACTCTCTATGATGTATAACAGGTCACTGGAAACAGGAGACCTACCGGAAAGTTGGAAGACAGCTAACGTAGTCCCAATATACAAGAAGGGTGACAGGCAAGAGGCACTGAACTACAGGCCAGTTTCCCTAACTTGTATACCTTGTAAGGTGATGGAGAAGATCGTGAGGAAAAGGCTCGTAGAGCATCTGGAGGGAAATAGCTTTGCAACACACCACCAACATGAGTTCAGAGATGGTAAATTGTGCCTCACAGGTTTAATAGAATTCTATGACCAGGCAACAAAAATTAGGCAAGAAAGAGATGTGTGGGCAGACTGCATTTTCTTGGACTGCCAGAAAGCCTTTGACACAGTACCCCATAAAAGGTTCTTAAAAAAGTTGGAGCAACAGGCAGGAGTAAAAGGGAAGGTGCTCCAGTGGATAAGAGAGTATTTAAGCAACAGGAAACAGCGAGCAACTGTGAGGGGGGAGACATCAGAGTGGCGAGATGTCACCAGTGGAGTCCCACAGGCCTCAGTACTTGGTCCCATCCTGTTTCTAATATATGTAAACGATCTTCCGGAGGGTATAGACTCATTCCTCTCAATGTTTGCTGATGATGCAAAAATTATGAGAAGAATCAAGACAGATGAAGATAGACAGATGTTTGTTGTTAAAGATTCGCTACCTGGAACAAAGTTCCAAGTAGCACGGGCTAGCAAGTAGCTATGGGCTCACTATGGTGAGCCCATAGTGCCTTGATAGACAGAGACTACAAGATGACCTGGACAAACTGGAGGAATGGTCTAGAAAATGGCTGCTAAAATTCAACTTGGGAAAGTGTAAAGTACTGTACTGAAATTAGGCAAAGGGAGCAGAAGGCTGAACACAAGGTACCATCTGGGAGGTGAAATCCTGCAAAAGTCAAATAGAGAGAAAGATCTGGGAGTTGATATCACACTGAACCTGTCCCTAGAGGCCCACATCAAAAGGATATCATCAGTGACATATGCTAGGTTGGCCAACATAAGAACTGCCTTTAGAAACTTGTGTAAGGAATCGTTCAGGACCCTGTATACCACTTATGTCAGACCAATCCTGGACTGTGCAGCTCCAGCCTGGAGTCCATACCTAGTTAAACACAAGATAACGTTAGAGAAGATTCAGCGGTATGCCACCAGACTCGTCCCGGAACTGAGAGGAATGAGCTACGAGGAAAGGCTAAAGGAGCTGAACCTCACGTCCCTGGAAAACAGAAGAGTAAGGGGAGCCATGATAACCACCTACAAAATTCTCAGGGGGAATTGACAGGGTGGACAAAGACAAAATCGTCAGCACGGGTGGAACACGAACAAGGGGACACAGGTGGAAACTTAGTACCCAGATGAGCAACAGAGACGTTAGCCAGAATTTTTTCAGTGTCAGAGTAGTTAATAAATGGAATGCATTAGGAAGTGATGTGGTGGAGGCTGATGCCATACACAGTTTCAAATATAAGTATGATAGAGCCCAGTAGGCTCAGGAATCTGTACACCAGTTGATTGACTGTTGAGAGGCGGGACCAAAGAGACAAAGCTCAACCCCTGCAAGCACAACTAAGTGAGTACAACTTGGTGAGTACATTTTTCCCTCTCACCCCTTTCTCCTCCCTCCTATCTTCCTCATTTTTGTCCTCTTCCCCACCATACCCCTCTTCCCTCTTTTCCAATTGGTTTCCAACCTAGAGCAGACACACATTTCCATTTAATACTGAATTCACTTTTTTTTTTATTAACAAATAGGTACTCACCTATTTGTGCTTGTGGGGGTTGAGCTTTGGCCCTTTGGTCTCGCCTCTCAACCGTCAATCAACTGGTGTACAGATTCCTGAGCCTACTGGGCTCTATCATATCTACATTTGAAACTGTGTATGGAGTCAGCCTCCACCACATCACTGTCTAATGCATTCCACCTGTTAACTACTTTGACACTGAAAAAGTTCTTTCTAACGTCCCTGTGGCTCATGTGGATACTCAGTTTCCACCAGTGTCCCCTTGTTCGTGTACTACCAGTGTTAAACAATTTATCCTTGTCTACCCTGTCAATTCCCCTGAGGATTTTGTAGATAGTGATCATATCTCCCCTTACTCTTCTGTCTTCCAGTGTCGTGAGGTGCATTTCCTGCAGCCTTTCTTCGTAACTCATGCCTCTTTGTTCTGGGACTAGTCAAGTGGCATACCTCTGAACTTTTTCCAGCTTCTTCTTGTGCTCGACAAGGTACGGGCTCCATGCTGGGGCCGCATACTCCAAGATTGGTCTTACGTATGTGGTATACAAGATTCTGAATGATTCCTTACACAGGTTCCTGAAGGCAGAACCGTTTTCAGATATGACAGGTATATGAAGATATGACAGGTATATCTGCATTTGTGCAGCTACCCTAGACTATATGAAGGGAAGTACAGCGTGTAAAAAACTAGCTACGTGATGCTAAAAATCTCCATCATACAGGATGATTAGTCATTCAAAGGCATGTGATAAGTAGGCTGCGCTGGCAAACTCTGGGTGCATTATGAGGATATCATGAACACAAGAGTGAATAAGGTAGCAGTGATAGTGTGTCTCCATCTTGTGGGATGGTTTGTCATACAGGGCCAATGTTCAGTAGCCTGCACTGGTAAATTTTGGGTGCAATATGAGGATATCCTCAGGAACTCGAGAGAAAGCTATGATTTGTTCAGATCTGAAACCTATGTTTATAGGAAGCACAAAACGTTGACCAGACTGTGAGACAGTGGTTGCCAGGATCAGGTTAGGTTACCGTTACCTGTGGCAGGTGGTTACAGGTGACGGATCTTGCAATCCTGAGCACTTCAGGTGCAAACTCTGTGAACAGGAACTGCGACATGATCTCCCGCACTACATCACCGAATGCCCAGTTATCAGACCATTCAGACCCATTGGCAAGAGATACCTGGAGGTTTGCAATTACTGAATTCACCTTCACTTACTTGCAAGTGAAGAAATCTAGGGACTTGACCTGCCACTTTCCCAGGTGTCTAGCCTCCATTTGTCTGTGTCTGCCTTGGACAGACATTCTCTCATTTACAGTACAAGTATAGAGTAGATAGATCTATAATGGATTTACATAATATATCTTAAGGCTGATAATACTAAATGCTGGTGGGTTTATATACTGAATTTAAAGTTAATACTTAATTCAAAGGCTGTACTGTACATTTATTTGATTTATTTATGGGCTTAATGAATACAAAAAGTGATTATGTTGGAAAAATCAGCGTTGAATGTAATGAAACACCAGATTCTGGGTGAGACCCAGGAGGCTTCCTGAAGCTATCCAGGCTGATATGAATGTATTAGACCCTGGCATCAGTCGAGCGCATGGAGTTCTAGGCCTACCGAGGATCACGAGCCAGAACCTGGCCCCCCTCAGAGAGACACGAGGAGCACTGGCCTATAGAAACCCCCGTGTGGGTTTCTATGTCTGCTATCGACTGGGTCAGGCACCCAGAAAGGTAAGCACCCCAAAACAAACCCCTATTCTGGTTAAAAAATTGCTACTGAAAGCCGAATTGCTGGACAGAACTCCCTAACCGAAAACGAGCATGACGTCACCACGTCGCTGTCTGCACAGCTTCCCCCTTCCTGGGAGGGGGAAGGAGGAGCCCCAGAATCCTTGCGCCAGCTATTCACGCATCAGTTCTGAAGCTGGATGTCAAAAACATGCGATAAACTGCCGACCGGAGGGAGGGAGGGAAGGTTGCTGGGGAGCCTCTGTCTCTCATCCAGAAACTGCAGTTTCGTTACATTCAATGCTGGTTTTCTTGGGGGGGTGGACCCCTTCAGCTTTCCGGAACTACTTACCCAAAAATAAAAGCAAGAGGGATGTATCCGGGAGGCGGGCGCCACCCGCTCCTCAACTCGAAGTCAAGACAACAGGCTGCAACTGCCGACCCAATGCGACACACACCAACGAAGGCCAAGAACATTGACAAGGAAGCGAGCGGTCAGGACTGTGTTTGACCACCCAAAACCCTGTGCCCGAATGTCAGCCTTAGACATGGTACCGAAGACGGCAGCCAAAGTAGCAATGCATGAACAGAGCGGGCACAAGGAAAGACTACAGGCCGGCTGAACCAAAGAACCCTTCAGACGACCTGGGAGACCCGAACCCTGGAACAGGGAAGGAGGGAAACCAGGTCAACCCAAAAAGTGCATCCCCTGCCACTGAGGCAGTGCAGTGCACAGGTAGCAATGAAGAGCCGGAACCAGACACAACACATGATGTATCCCGGCCAAACCAACCTAGTATCAACAACCCAAGGACCCCTCCGGAAAACAGCAGTCTCATTCTTCGCCAGGAAAGAAGACGGCTGCAACGAACAGACCTACCACCTGGACCAAAAGAGCAAAAACCCCTGCGCTGGAGGAGAGCACGATGCTCCCCAACCTGACCCCCAGAGGCCAATGCAAACAGGAAAAGAGCCTTCGCAAAACGATCTCGAACCGAAGGGGCCATAACAAACTGAGGGGAAGAGAAAAAAGAAAGCACCCGGTCCAATGACCAGGGTGGCTCAGGCGGCACATAAGCAGGCCAGAGGTGAAATAACGCACGAGACAGCTTGCAGAGCGGAGCTAGGACAGAGGTTCTGGCTCGTGGTCCCCGGTAGGCAGAACTCCATTGACTGATGCCCCAGACTAATACAGCTTATATCAGTCCGATAGCTCCAGGGAGCCCGAGGGGCTCTCCACAGAAAATAACATTTAGTGGAACACTGCAGTTCTTATAGCAAAGTGCATGTCTTCAATCCATCAAGTGCCTATGAATTTATTGTGTGGCCAATAAGTAACTTAGCCAAAGATGTTTTCCACTTACTGTTTTGATGTCAGAGCCACAAGGGTAAGCAACATTTTATATTACAGTACATAGATGTTTATTTATAAAAAATAATCTCTCTAGTGGTTGCAAAATGCTTATGAATGACAAACATGAACTGCCTCTTAGTGGCAGCATTTGCAAGGTTATTGGAGGCAACACCAATATATCTGGGAACCCAGCACAATTACTTTTTAGGCATCCCTTCCCATAATCTGTTTTTAACATCCATCTCCACACTTGATCTTCTAACATTTATCTCTGTTTGAAATTACTTTGCTTGGACCACCTGTGTGTGCAGCAGTGCAAGGACTGGAGGACTGACTGTCCACATTGGTTATCAACAAGGATAAAATGCCTAGAGCAACAGCACAGAATTCAAAGTGAATTCTTCCAGATATAGGTCTTGCCTGACTCAACCTGGTGAAGTAGGGAATTAATGAATCTGTTCATCAATATTTGTATATGGGTATTGTTTATGCTGATGACAGATTAATATATGAGGGAAAAGGGTTCACTAATACACCATGTGTACCTTAACATGCAAATATATTTGCTAATTTAAAACATGGAAACATTTACACATGGATGGAGGATAATTGTCTTTACTTTAAGGAACATCATTTAATAACCACTGCCTAACATCACTGCCATATTCAAAGGACAATCAGGAGCTCAAATGATGCTTGGAAATAAATTGCATGAACATAAAACTGATGTATGTTTGAAAATAACTACAGACACATGCTCGGTTGTGGACCAGGACTTGGTGAGGAGTCTTGCTCTGAATGGCCACACTAGATCTGAAACAAAAGTACCACCAAGCTCACCGAGTCACACTGAGCATCACGAAATGCAAGTCAAATGCGTACGCAATAAAACAATTTACTTACTCGACAGAATCCACACACACCACATTCATACACATGTGCTTCTTCTTCTGCCATCTTGATGAATGGGTCCAACCTCTGGATGAATCTCCCGCGTCTCTACCATTTTGGGAGTTGTCCACGGGTGATAAGAGTTTGTGGAGTTAGTAAACATGGCCAGTAGGAGAATGTTACTCAGGAGCTCAGGGAATACATGTCTGCTGGGTACACAGCGTTCCTTGAAAATGCCATGGTGGAGCTAAGGGTAAGATAGCCGAGTTTATGCCTCGTATCTCGTAGTTGTAGGGAAGGGTCAAGTCAACTGTTGGGGAAGTCAGGTCCAGACCTTGACCTTTCATTCCCCTCTTCCCCTCACTACCTTATACATTCTGTAGAGGGTAGGAAGAGTGATAATTATTAAATACAACAATTATTATTATAATAATTATTATAATAATAATATAATTTATTATTATCACTCTTCCTTCTGCTTGGTCTAGAAGGAAGCCAGCCTCGGGTGAAAGAGGGCTGTGACGATCTCTGTCTGGAACCCATAGGTGCGGGACCGGAATGTCCACATCCTGGGGGTCGTGCAGCCCAGGCTCTGCTTCAGGAGACTGGGGTTGTTCATACCCTTGATGGGGTGGTTCTTCTCCGGCTACGACCACAACGATCTCCGAATTTGGAGTCCCTGTGCTTTCTTTCACCAACTTCGAGGTCAACTCCGGAGCTCACAATTCCTGCGATGGCGCTGGAACCAGTCGTATTGGTGTTTACCTTTCGATTGGAGACTTTCGGCGCCGTGAAGAGGGGGGACCTGCTGGATGGGTAACAGCTTCTCCATATCAACCTACCCTGGCTTTGCACCCTGGAGAGGCCACTCCAGACTGACAACCAGAGTACAACTCTGGTTGCACTTTTATGTTATACTACTAGTATAAAATTATACTACAGTACTAGTATAAAATATGGCAGTGATAAAATATGGTATACATTTTATACTACTAGTATAAAATATGGCAATGATACTACCCACGACTGCAAAAGTAAGATGTATAACTCTGTCATCTGCTTGCATAACTAGAAGTAGTACATCTTCACTCATACTACAGCCGAGTTGTAAATGGTATTACCAATCCAAGGATACCCAACACGGGGGTACTGTGGCCTGAGATAGGGCACTAGCAACTGCACTGGACTGCACAGCATTCTAACTATAGGCTAGCAAGTCTAGCTTTGAGACCACCATTCTCATAATCTCTATTCTTGATCTAGCATTCATCTCCATTATTGATCTTCTAGCAGCCATCTCTATACTGCACTTAATCTTCTAACATCCATCTCCATACTTGATCTTCTTACATCCATCTCTATACTGCACTTGATCTTCTAACATCCATCTCCATACTTGATCTTCTTACATCCATCTCTATACTTTATGTAACTCTCATCTCCATACACCTCTTTTAAAATTTACTTTGAAGTTAATTTTTTGGGGGAGTGTGGAACTGATTAATTCAATTTACATTATTTCTTATGGAAAAATTTGCTTCAGTTTACGAATTTTTGGCTTACGAACTGTCCCTGGGAATGGGTTAAATTTGTAAACTGAGGTACCACTGTACTCCTGTAGGGCATTCTATTGCGAATATTTTGATACCAAATAGACGACAATGAAAATTGAGGTGAAGAACTTGAATAAGAGTAAATACATTTATGAGCAGGTGTGCCAATGGGTGCTGGCTCACGGATTATGCTTGGCCGACGTTGGTTGCAACCCGCTCTCGTGCAAGACAGTCCATATATGACTTATGGCTTATAGTCAATATTTGGCTTATGAATAAGTACATATATGATATATTCTAAGTTCTATTTTTTTCAAGGCACTAACTCTTCTATTTAAGTTTTATTAAACAATAGAAACTTTATACAAAATTTGATAATATCCTGAGTTACTTTACAATTTATTTAGATATTTTAGTTTTGTTTTATTATTTTTATAAAACTGTAATATCACTATAGGTAATTAAGAAGCCATAAAATACTTATCTTAACATACTAAGAAGGTTAGGTTAGGTTGTGGTTTTCTATTCAGCTTTTCAGGTAAACTCAAACATTCACAAAAAATTAGTATGTCACATATGCACTTATTCATAAACCAAATATTAACTATAAGCAAGTACGAAAACAGGTTGCAATTTTGGCTTTGTTGTGGGTGGGGCGCGCCGGGCTGCAAATGTGCAATATACAGTATATGAAAAAAATAATTAGAAAGCATTGAAAATTAATTGAAGAAAAAATATATGTAAATATATTTGTGGCAACTCGTGAGTCTTGAATAGTCTGCACGACTGCCTGTGGGATCCTCCTGCATGGGAGCACAGACCCTGATGACGTTACATCGCACTTTCTCCACGTCCCCACAGCCAAAGTTGCTGTTGTTATTATTTTTTACATGTACATGTTCAGGGAAGGATCTTAACGATTTACAAAGAAAAAAAATTAGGAAAACTTTATTTTTGGTGCACCACCAGAATGTTATAATAAATGCTGCACAGCTCGGCGGTTAAATAAATAAGTTACTGTTAATATACCTTTCCATACTTCATCCATACTAAGTATTTTATATTTCACCCATTACCTTTTTTCCAGTCTCCTTTGCAACACTCATGATGCATCCTTTCAATAATCAAATCAATCTTTATTTTTATTGCACCTCTTTTGAGCTAAAATATTAAAACATTAATATTCTTCCAGATGATGATCCAACACACTTCGGACCAGAGTTGGACTTAAGTGACCTTGGTGAGTATTTTGGCAATTGCAATTTTTAACTGATCATACAAAAAATAGTACCATAGCTTTTATACATTTAAATAGTACTATACATTTAAATTTCCTTTTTTAGGATGTCTAGGCCAGCTGTTAATTTCCTTTAGTTTTTAGTTTTAGTTTAGTTGTTAATTTAATGTTATTTTATCTATTTATTTATATATATACAAGAAGGTATAATGAGTTTATGAGAGTACATAGCATTAATGTTTTTACATTCCTGTAAGGCCACTGACATGCATAGCATTTCGAACAGATCCTTAATCAGAGGGGTTGTTATGCTGTCTCCAACTGTCCACCTCATTTTGGTTCATTGTTCCCAGATTAGGCACTGATTTACCTTTGTTTTACAGATCTGCCTTTCCTTTGATTTGTTTTTAGTCATGTGTGTGTTTATATTGCACAGGTAGATGGAAAATTTTTGTCCCCCGTTTAGTTCCTTGTTCACCCCCATCTCCTTTTGGTGACGGTGACTGTGCTCTAGGACTTCTGTTTGTTTTGCTCTCATTCACCAGCTGGTCGGGGCTTGGAAGTGTTTGTGTTGTTCAAGTGACTTTGATACTGGTTGATGATGACCAATGTTTTTCACCTATTTCCTGGGGAAAGCCCCTTGTGGCTCCCTGAAGCTACTACAGTATCACTGAAAGTGTACTATCTACTGGGTCACATCAGCCACTGAGTTCTATCTGGTCTATCAGTGTCCAAGAGCCAGAACCTGTCACCCTCACAGGCACAGGGAGCAGTGATATTTATCAATTTATTTGTTTGTTTATGCCACCACTGGAGGAAGGCATCCAGAAAAACCAGTGAGACAACAGACCACAGCTGATTAGTAAAGACTGTAGAGTGCTTGGAGCTGCATGTGCACAGGATTTTCTTTCCTGTGTGCTCCCTAGTGCTGTCTTTGCACTTTAGGGTTCTCTTCCCTGGGGTGTTTGGGGGGTTGCTTCCTTGGAGGCCTTCCTTGCTTGTGGTGGTCTTCACCCAGGGTGAGTCAGGTTCCTTGGGTTTTCCTGTCTTTACTCGGGTAGGGTACGACGTTTGCTGGCATGTGGTATATTGGGTATTTATGTGCTACACATTAGCGTGCCGAGGTTAGCCTTCTCAGCCACGTTGTGTTGGCCTCCTACGCCATTTCTATCCTTTAGTTCACTCCTCCATTACGAGACACGGTCACCATCCTATAGGTGTTGGTTCTGTTTATATAGTTTTGGCTACATATTCTTTTAGGTTCGGTGTAGCGTTCCAGTGCCTGGGTGTACAGCATGGTCAATTCCTTAAGGCCCTGTTACGCGAGGTGTGTGTGTTTGTGGCTATATTGTTTGCAATGAATCTGGGATACATGTAAATTGTTATTATATTATATATCAGTGATTAATTAATTATTCATGTGCTAGATCATAAATTATGCCACCGTGATTTAGTTTTTTACGTGTTTACAGAGTGGTCAAAAGCTCATAATCAATTTAAGTGTAATTAAATGTTTTTAGTTTTAGTTTGTTTAATTTGTATTTGTTTGCATCCAATGTAGTATACTGGTAGAATAGGTGTTTGTTTTATTTACCTAATTTGCAGTAGTTTGGAACAAGCCTAAATGAAGTGATATTACTATTGTTTTATGAGCCTTATTGCTAGGCATGATGCCATAACACCTACGGTCTACCCTTGTGCCCATGATATTTGGAAATATGCCACTCTCTTGGCTGTTCACAAACATGTTCTGGGCTGATATTTGGGCACGGGGGTTTTGGAGGTCGATTAAAGGGGTTATGGGGGTTAGGGCTTTCAGAACAGTCTTCTTTCCCCTCACCTGGATCAGGTTGTTTCAGAGTGGGTTGTTTCCAGCATGGTTGAAACAACTACGTATGTCTATTCAGTGGATGTCCTGTCTCTTTTCGGTTTCGATATGAGACTCGGCAGAGCTCCGGTTCACCGTTGATCTGTTGTGACTGAATCAATTCATCCCTGGCCCCACATTCCAGGTGACCAATTTGCCATGCCTTTGCCTCATATTAGAGGCAGACTCCTGGATGATACCCCTGGATTTCTGAGACTGGTGTGTCCCTATTCATCCAGTATTTAGGGATTGGTTAGGTTTCATTTTGGGGTATCAGGCTTACTGCTTTTGGGTTCTTTCCTTTCACTTGAATCTGGTTGCCTCTGTTTTTTCATAAGGTTGGCCGGGTCGTGGTGACTTGTCTTTATTTGTTGGGAGTTCGTGTTCTGACCTAGCTCAATGAATGTCTGGTGTGGGCCCCTTGTCAGTCTGCATGTCTGTTAGCCAAGGATCTGGTTCTTTCCCAGCTTTCAGGGTTTAGGTTTCCGGTAAACTGGCAGAATTCTCAGTTGGTTTCATCCCAGGTTTAGACTTGGAAGTTTAGACTTGAAAGTTGGCATCATTTTCCATTCCTCCACACTGCAGAGTCGTTGCTTGCTGGTATTGACATGGCCATTGGTGACTCGGTAGATGCACAAACAGTTGGGTTGTTCATTTATTCAGTGGGTTGTGAGGCTTCTGTCCCTTTTGAACTTGGAATTGGTATATATTGGTTCACTGACTTTCTGAGTACCTTTTCAGGTAAGGTGGCGGAGTGTCACCTGCTCCGTATGCATCTTGTAAGGGGGGTCAGGTTCTGGCTCTTGTTCCCAGTAGGCGGGATTGAACTCCACTGTTGATGCAATCTAGTAATTGGGAGTCATCCTAGCAAGATAACTTCAAGGAGCCATCTGGGCTCATTCAGAAATTAGCATTTTATTACATTCAATGCTGTTTTTTTTTTTACTGTGAATGTGACACAGCCAACATACTGTACTTCCAAATACCTTCATCATTTGGTAAGATCTCTTGACCTCAGTCTAGAAACTAATGATGATGACCTTCCAGACCATTAGTGTCTGTTTTTGTCCACTGTGTTGGCACCACTCAGTAGCTTGTGTGTTGTGTATAACTTGAGTCATTATTTTACACTATTTTTTATATGTTGTGTAACATTTTTGTTTTAATTCTGAGTGGGTCAGCTAAAACTTAGTTTATATCCAAACATTTTGAAGTACAATATTTATGACAGTGGTAATTTTCTCTTACCAGTTGGAGCTCTCAAAGAGACAACAAAACCATCAGTTCAACCAAAACCATCATATCCATCATATCAACAGCCAGCACCTTTTATTGGCTTTGATCACCGTTTTGGAAATGCTTCTAGTAATGTATTCAACAATGACGAAAGTGAGTCATGTGTGTGTATCTTATTTTGTATGTATCACAGTGTCCTTCCAGGTATGTCATGATTCCCTTTTTTCTATTGATAATTAATAGATTAATCTTTTATGGGGTTAAGCTCAGATTTGCTGGCCCTCCATTTGATGAATGATTATTTAATATAGATTATATAATGGTAGTGTTCACAAGTATTTTTGTTTAATGTATCATAAAAGTAAAAAAATTCTATTGAAATGTATCATGATGTGTACATAAACACTTCAGTGTAGGTTAATTTCTGCCTCTGCTGATTTTTGGTCCATAACCAAGGTCAACACACTTCTTAAATCCATTATGTTGTACTTTTATTCAATTTACAAAGTGGTATCTTGAAAACCCATTAGTGATTTACTTTGAACAAGAAAATATGTCTCAGCATGATGTATCATGCTTTATTTTGGGGTGTAGTGACTTCAGAGTCTCCTACAACATGGTGGAAATCAGGGATAATGGCCCAGGAGCTGACAGAGGGCAATGGAGCAACCTGGGCGCCTCGAGTAGGTAGATTCGAGACTGAGCGCACTCTCGCTCCTTCACGGCAAAGATCAGGGAGAGTGACCTCGGAGCTGATGGAGGGCAACAGACCAGCCAGGGCATCACGAGCATATAAATACAAGATCTTGCACTCTCGTGCTCCCACCTTGGGTTTGTAGTCCAGGGTTGGTATGATAGCTATCCACTTACCCGCCCAGGCCATTTTTGTTGAAGAAACCTGGCAGGTTTAAGTTTTTTCCTCTAATATGGGCGAACTTAGTTATTTCTATTTAAATTTAAACCTGTATTTTTATCTATTGATTAAATAGATAGAAACTCAACCTTCCCCAACCCATATGGGTTGGGTTTTAAGAAAAACCTGGGTTTTCTGGGGGGAGCCCTATCAGCTCCCAGAGCTATCCAGGCTGATATGCTAATGTCAGACTTTGGCATCAGTCATGTGTATGGAGTTCTTTGGGCCAACCGGGGACCACGAGCCAGAACCTGGCCCCCTCAGAGAGGCACGAGGAGCAATGGCCTATAGAAACCCCCGTGTGGTTGGAAGCATTCTATGTCTACCATCGACCGGGTTAGGCACCCAGAAAGGTAGGGGTCCCAAAACAAACCCCTATTCTGGTGAAAATTGCTACAAAAAGCTGAACAAATGGATAGAACTCCCTCAAACAGAAACGAGCAAACGAGTATGACGTCACACGTCACCGTGCCGCCTAAAGTCCCGAAATCATCTCAAGATAACTTCAAGATATAGGTGGTGCACGAGCCAGGAGTGATTCTTCAGTACTCAGGCTTCATGTGCCTAGGGTTTCCTTCCCTAGGTGCCCAGTAAGTACTGCCCTTGGGGTTTGGGGTCACCTTCACAAGTTCCTTGGGTTCTGCCTCTGCCATGTCGTTTAGTGCTCGGTTTTCGGCCACCCTTTGTGTGCTAGGGTGTTCTGTCTCCCTTGTTCGCCTTAGGGTAGGGGGCAGTTTGCACTGGTAAGGGGCGCAGGGTACTGCGCAGCTTGTTTTCACCAATCATAGTGGCCGGCTCTGTTCCGCCTTGGTATGCTCTTCTCTTGTGGGGTTTTCTTTTTCTTTTTTTGTTTGCCTGCCTGGTGGGGGGTCTGCCTTGGTTATTGCCCTCTGTGTACTGAGTACTCTTCTTTATTCTGGTGGTTCCCCCTGCTTGGTCCCCGTGAGTGTACACGTCCCTGGGGTTCAGTTCTTAGAAAGTTGTTTGGTAGACTTGGGCGCCGATAGCAGTACCCTGTCTGGGCTTCCCTGAGCGTGAGTTCCGTCTCAGGACCCTGGGAATCCCCATGGGGGCACCTGGGTCTGATGGATGTGACCCCTTAGTCCCCCCCCCCCCCTCGCTTTGTGCGAGTTCGAGGGTTGCTTTGTCCCCTTGTCTCAGGGTGACTTTCACTCTTTTTGCTTCCGTCTGCTGCCTGTGGGATCGGAGGCACCTTCGACCTGGAGTCCTGCGAGTTTTGTTGGTTGTTTGTGACTCAGTTACCCAGTCTTATGCTGGGTATGTGGGTGCAGGCAGCACGGGCATTGCATGTTGGGTTCAGGTGGTTGCAATGCGCTAGGTTGTTTGCTCCCCGGAAGCCCCGAGGCTGCCCTGTTTTGACTGTTGTGACGGGGCTTGGGGGTGTTGGTTACTTCGGTTTTGTTTCCATTCGCTCCCCCTTGTCTTTTCCCTGTTGTGGTTTAATCTGGTCCCTACCCCTTCCTCCCTGCATCCGGATCCTTACCATCTGTGGGTTTGGGATCAGAGGCAGGGATTCGATGGTCTTGAGACTCGGGTGGTCTCAGGGATTTCGCCTTCCAGACAAGCGACGGAGGCATTCGAGCCTGTTCCTCCAGCCGTGTTGGACGAGTCTGCTAGTGGGCTCCCTTCCTTAGTATTTATCTGGCTGCCCCAGCTTTTTCTTGTGAGGCTGGGGCTTTGGGGGGACGGCTCGGCCCTGGGGCCTGCAGTGGAGGTTCCCAGGGCTGGGGAGGGGCTGACTTGGGTGGGGCCCTCTGGCCCCGTTGCACCACGCCGGGGTTTTCTACCCTCTGAGCAGGGCTTGCGGTTACGGGGAGTGTGGTTTTTTCCTTTCCCCCCTCTACGTACAAGTTGTTTGGCGTCGGCCCCCCCCTTGGGTTCAGTTCCTTGACCCTTCGGGTCCGTCGGTTCCGTCCTATCGGTGGGTACTCTTCTCCGTTTTCTCACCCTTCTTCTCTGGGACGGGACTTCTCCGTCATGTTCCCCCTTTTATCGGGGTTTTGCATGACTTTTGGTCTCAGGTGCGACTGTGCCTTTATGAGCCTTCGTGATTTTGTGCTTGCTTCTGTAGGATCTCGAAAGTTCGGGAAGGTCTTCGATTCTTCCCGTATTATTATTTGAACGTCTGTCGTCTTCCGGTGAGGCTTACCTCCAGTCCTTTCTTGGACTTGTTGGTCCTCTTCTGTGCTTCTTGGTTATCGGTACTGTCTCGTTCTTTTGTAATTATATCTTCTCTCCGTGCTCTGTCTCGGCACTGCTAATATTCCTTACATACTCCTAGTTGGCGCCCTCCCCACCGGGCGGGGTTATGCGGTTCAAACCTCATACGTCCTGAGCATGCGCCATGGGAGTTTGTTCTGTTATGGACGGTGTGCATGTGTGTTGGCGTTCCACATCCTTTTTCTCTCGGGTGTTTCGCCTCTCTCGCTCCTCTTATCTCTCCAGTCCGGGCCCCGTAGATACTGGGGATGTTTTGGATTACCAATATGGGGAAGACGCCTAATTTTTCTCTGCATACGGGTGTGGGGCACCGCATTCGCCTCTACCCTTCTCTACTCCTGCATGTGCAACTCTTGCCTTATTCCACCAGCGGTGCTCCCAGAATGTTCTCAGCTACGATGTGTAGCAACACATTCGTGCCTACGCTCTGCAGGCGAGTTTATGCAGTCGTGCGTCTCTTTCGGCCTGGTGCTGGTTCGTGGTTTTGGGCATTGATTGTGGCGTTTTGTTTGGCCCATTGCTTGCTTCTTCCTGTGTCCTTCCTTGTTCATCTGTGTTATTTGTTACGCGGTGGAGCATGGCCTCGTCTTTCGTGGTCTTATCTTGGACACTCTTTCCTTGACCGTCGTGCAGTGCCTGGCTGAGCTCTTCCATATACAGTACATTGGCTTCTCTGTGTGTAGTGGGTCATGTCCCTTTCTTTCCCGATTGCGTTTCTTCAACACCAACTTTTCTTGGTGGCAGTGGCCTCTGGGGGGTCGATTTGGGGTGCTTCGTGCTCTCCTCTGGTGCCTGGTTATCCTGGTAGGTTTGTTCGCTTACAGCCGTCTCCTTCTTTTCTGTCAAAGACTGACACGGCTGCTTTTTTTTTTTCTCTTGGTTGGTCTGGCTGCCGGTGCATCGTGTGTTGTGTTCGGTTGCGACAATTTCGCTGTTCTTGGCGTGCTGAGGCTGCCATGACCGGGGTCACGCTTTGGGTTGTTCCGGTTTCCCTTCTTCTCCGGGACTCTGGGCAAGTCCCGGAGGCTCCCTGGCAACCCTCCCTCCAGTCGGCATTTTTTTTGCGCGTTTTTTTTTTTATATCCAGCCTGAGAACTGGGGTGTGGATGGCCAGCGCGAGGGTCTGGGGCTCCCCCCTTCCCCCTCCCGGGGAGGGGGGGAGCTGCGCAGACGGCAGCACGGCGATGTGTGATGTCATACTCGTTTGCTCGTTTCTGTTTGGGGAATTCTATCCATTTGTTCGGCTTTTTGTAGCAATTTTCACCAGAATAGGGGTTTGTTTTGGAACGCCTACCTCTCTGGGTGCCTAACCCAGTCGATGGCAGACATAGAATGCTTCCAACCACACGGGGTTTTTTATAGGCAATTGCTCCTTGTGCCTCTGTGAGGGGGGGCCTGGTTCTGGATCGTGGTCCACGGTAGGCCCACAGAACTCCATGCACATGACTGATGCCAAAGTCTGACATTAGCAAATCAGCCTGGATAGCTCCGGGGAGTCTCCGGGACTCACCCAGAAAATGGCGTTTCATTACATTTTTTTTTACCAACCCAGTTTGTACAGATATAGAATACAGTACTATATATGTATTATAACCAGTGAATTAAGGAATCACTAGAGAATATTTAATCCAGCCTAGAATGGCCAACAGGGGTTTGTTCATATAAATTCACTGTTCCACTAAGCTCTGGATGAAAACATATCTGTACTGTAGTACATTATAAGCCAGCAGCTACCTGTCCCCATTGAGGTCACAAGAGGTCTAGGGTTGGTATATCTAAGGCCTTCATAAATTATTCATAAAATTTAAATCAAAATTTAACAAAAATTCTGACAGGAGTTACATTATGTTTAGTTTGTGTTGCATTTAATACACAACCGAATGTTAAATGTCTGATGCAAAATATTTCAGCCCTGAAGTGGGTGTCTTGCCGTGGAGGATCCAGGTGCCCTGCACCAGTTAATGTGACCAATGGAGTAGACTCCCCACTGGTTGCTCTGGCTCGCCATAATGGAGGTCTCTTTCCTGGTGTACTGATGCCTAATATCAATGAGTGCTACATTACCTGGGGTGGCAAGTCCATTTCCAAGACTGATTACTTTGTAAGTATATATTGTATATTCATCGAAGGAAATTACTGATATTAGAAATATTAGTTGTGAGGTGTGAAGAATCTGGATATGCCCATATGGAAGATAAAACGAGGGACACTAAATAAAGCATAATGAGAGTTTGTAATTGTAAGCTAATTAAGGAAAGGAAGAGTAATTGTATACATATTTTTTATAATTACACTAATGGTATTAGCATATGGTTGTGTATGCTAAAACTACTTTCAGTTTTTAAGCACAAACTTTAATTAATAAAAATTTGTATTTTAATTATATATGTCAGGAAGCATACTCACAAGCATAGGAAATAACGCAGTGTCTGACATGATAAAAACTGGATACTGTAATTGTTAGATTCAGTGGCTAGAAAAGTTCACCACTGTATACTTTTTGTGTTATTACCTATTTGTAATTATAAGTCGAGCCAGGGTATGGTTGTGTCCTGTCTTTCTGACATCATTCATTGAGGCTGTTGATGTGGAATGATTTTACCTGAAATACAGAACTGTAAGCCAGTCTTTAGTAAAAAATTAGTTTCATAAGTTTTAACTTGTAACCTTCACTAAAGTGCCACACTGAATCCTTTTGTATAGATTAATTTTAGAGAAACAGATTAATTCAAAATTTTTTGAAACGGTAATACCCAGAATTAGACATAAAAATTAATATAAAGATACACTTTGCATTATACTATTGTATATTTTAATGGATATTTTGCAGCTGTTGAGCAACCCTGGAAATGCTGATATTATATGGCAGTCAGCTCAAAATGGTTCTGTTCCAAATGGAGCCCTTGAGGGTGGCTACTCAGAAACGGGCGAGAAGCTGTACATTGGCCGCTTTAATGTTGGTGGGATGGTCATCTCGGGAAAGGTACCTATATTATTTGTTTTAATGGGCTCCTTACAGTGTGTGGACTTGGTGGGTCGCTTCTTAAAAGTATAAGATTAATGGATCTTTGTTACTAGTGAATCTTTTATGTAACTGTATTGGTTTTATCTGGCCTGATGAATTTTTAATGGCAATTATCAGCACACATTAGTCTGTCATAATCTACAACAGACATGTTTACAAGATACATCATTTATACTTTATACATCAAAATACATTTTATACTGAATACAATTTTTTTCTCTACAATACAGTACATATGTTTATCTTACCTTTATGGAGGACTCTTGATGCATATGGAAGATGGTGAGGAGGGGGGAGGAGGAGAGGTGTTACTGTTTGGAAGGAGAGTAACCCTTCCATTATAACATCAGGCAGTGATGACTTCTCTGGGGTACACTCTACTACGTTTTGCCTGCATACCACTAGGACCTGGTTGTGATTCACTGCTTGTTTGTCTTACTAAAACCCTTCCCTAGGTTTTTGTTTTTCCATACGTTTTAATTTTTGTCTGTAGTGAGGCATCAGAGTGTCATTAAAAAGGTTAAGGCAACGGCCTACTGCACCATGATTTGGGCGAGTTGTTTCAGCAAAAGTTTGCAATTTTTCCCATGCTGCACACATTTTCTTAATGAGGAAGGGACATTCTGTACTGTCTCCTCCTCCCCCTGAAGAAATTTCCTCAGCTGTCTCTTGTTGCTGCTCCTTGTGAAGTTCTTCAGTGGTCAGTTCTTCGCTGTGTTCCTCCACCAGCTCGCAACACACAACACTCAGAACACTATGAATGCCACGTCTTTTTCTAAATTTCTCAAACCATCTCCTGCTCACCTTAAACTCTTTCCAATTTGTATCACTCGTTCCAGGGGTTTTCTTTAAAAGGTCTTCATTCAATTTCCTTGCTTTTTCACAAATGATGGCCTCTGAAACTCTATCACCCGCTAACTTCTTGCTGTGTATCCAAATTAATAATAACTGTTCAACATCCTCAAGTGTTTGTGTTCTATGTTTCGTGATTATTGATACGCCTTTTGCCACTTTAGCACTCATAATGTCCTTTTTCTTAGCAAGTATGGTGAATATCGTTGACTGAGATTTGTTGTACTGCCTAGCTAGTTCAACAACCTGCACACCATCTTCATATTTACGAATGATCTCTTGTTTTTGCTCTAAGGTCATCCTTACATGGGTTTTCATATGTTGAATCTTATCACTGACTTTCTTGGGACCCATGGCTTGATACATAATAATCAGTTTTATGTTCAAAAAGCAAAAAAATCACCACAAAAACGGAATTTCTTATAGGCGTGATCGTCACTAAGCGGGCAGCTCTAATAAACTGAGGCAGATCGGCCCGCGTGACCGGGAACCACGAGCTCGGTCGCCCCAAATGTGTACCAAGTCGAGTCGCATTTTTCGATCAAATTTACATCATAACTTGAAAGTAGTGTAAGTCGGGGCAATCATAAGTCAAGGTGCCACTGTACAGTAAGATATTACAAACCTATGTATGCATTAGGTTTCTTTATTTTGTCCTAAAGAGTGGGGATGGGTTGTAGTAAAAGAAAGGAGTTATTTTGAGAATGTTACCATTAAATAGTAATTCATAACTTTTCCCATGTTATTTATTGATAAACATTGTATTTGTCCCCTTCTTTCCCTTTATTTTGGGCGAGTTAGCTTGGAAAAGCTTATTTGCTTAGATGAAAATAATAATCTAGGTGCAGGGTTAATCATAACCACCAGCATTATCTAGGTACAAAAGCACACGCACTCCAATTCTGTGTACGGTATCAGGATATGGTCTGAATTCATGATAAATGTATCACGATCTAAAACTGGAAGTCTCAGTGCTTTGGAATTGTATTTTACTCGCCAAGTTGTGGCTGAAGTGTTTAAATTAAATTTTAGAACATTTGATAATTAACTGAGCAAGATTAGTAAATTTCTTATGTATTTTCAGGTTCACCCTAGCCATAGGGTCTGTTATGTTCCTTACTGGGGCTCAGAGAACAACAATCGTCGTTATGAGGTCCTCTGTTTGAGGACTGTTCCCTTTACCATTCTCGGAATTCAGTAAAGTTAAAAATCTTCATTTAAAGTTATCATTAACTGCAAAATAAACATGTTTTCTTTGATAAAACAAAAGAATTTGTAATATTGTAATATGATTTTGTATTTTTTGATAAAACAAAAGCATTTGTAATAAATATTTGATACAGTATAGTCCTTTATATACATTATACAGTACTTTAAGTCTTTAAATGACAACAGTTATTAACTGCTTAGATAACTGATATGCAATACATAGTCTGCTTTGAAATAAAACCTTAAAATGTCTTTAGTTTTAATACAAAATTATGCACTTTTTCAAAATTTATATTTCTTTACTTTATGAAAAGTAATGGCATTTATCATATATTCTTTGATGAATCCTACTTATTGCAATTGTGATTAGAAGTACTCAAAATTGTACATTATTTCCTTCCTAATATTTGTGGGTTATATTATTAAAAATTTTGAATATACAGTACTTTGTGTTTTATGTAATCTATTCAAAATACAATAGTTACTCCACATGTGTAGACCAAAAATGTCTGTGGCTTTAACTGATACACTCCCATCTACCTATACAATTTTTCGTGTTATATACAGTACTGGTAAATATGCTCCTGTATGATTAATATACAAGTACAGTATCAAATATACAGACTAGTATATATACAGTACAGATTAATATACAAGTACAGTACAGTTATCAAAAGAATCTGCCAAGACCAAAAGGGGTATACATTACCATATCACAGAAATACTAAAGTTCCTAGATATTCAAGGATGCCAATACAAGACATAAGACAAGCAATGTCAAAAAAATTGGATTCCGAGTCTCGAGGCAAATCATGATTATTTTTAAATCTAGGATGTTTATACTTAAACATCATATATATTTTTAAATTTTACTATAATGTACTACTGTATATATAAATTTTAACTATATTTTCTGTTGGATTTCAGCTAGAAAAAATATGAAAACATCAAATTACAACAAATACTGAAATTAATACACCATTGTGACAAATATACTGTAATACACACATTTGCATTCATCATAATACCAGCATTTGCATTCAACCCACACCAGAGAACACTATAAAAACAACACAGTGAATGCAATGAAGCACCCTAGAAGTTGCCCAAGCTCCGGTTGGTATCACCGAGCTTTAGCCAGCACATCAGGCTTTTGGAGACCCAGTCCAACACCTGGGTCCAGGTGAGAATCAGAATGTACCTTGCTACAAAGTTGAGGGAATGGGATCAGAGATGAACCACACAATGGGGAACATCCACCAGAAAGCTTGAACAACACAACAGAAATGTAACTGCTTGAAGTTAGATACTGCTAGGTAAGCAGATAAGGTAAGGTAAGCATGGTAAATTATTGCTGTTGCATGTTTTGTTGCACCCATGCTTTGTGGTGGGGTTTCCCTGTGTTGTGGTTCACCTTTGATACCCTGCTCCCCTCGCCTCGTTTTCTGAGTAAGATTTTGGCCCTGGTTCCTGGGAGAACGAATATATGTGGGAAGCTTGGTGGTACCAGAGATAGGCTTGGGCTTACTGAGGGGCCCCTTCTCTGAAAACTTAATTTTGTGCATATGAAAACAAGTTTAACAATGGAAGGAGAACTTCAGGAAAGATTCTGCACATTATTTCTAGTCTTAGTTATTATAAAAAGATGCTCTAATTTATAACATGTAATATGACATTTTAATATATACAGTACTGTACATCTGTAAAACTATTTACAATATTTTGCACTTCAAAACACCAGGATTTGAGTTCTTGTGGCAAGTAGAGAAAGCTGCTGGACATTTAGACATGACCTATTATTTGATAAATAGGCAGATGGATTATGAAGAAAGAACTGCAGGTTTCAGAGATCTTCCAATAAATTAAGTAAACAGCCACTTAGTGAACTAAGTTTTACTAAGGGAGGGAAAAATATGAAACACGTGTCCACAAAGAAGATGTGACTAACCAATGCTTTTGTCATTTAATCACACAGTTTATAGCATATTTCAAGGCATATTTTATAGCATATATAAAGGGAAGGGAATAAAATTTGTTAAGTTGAGCAAGAACTGATATACAAGGACAAAAGAAAAGTTAATAATGATCCTAGAGAAACTACAGTATGAAACTATAATAATAATACTGTAATTAAATTTTTGTCAGGGACAGGCAGCCTATGTGTGTGTGTGTGTGTGTGTGTCTGTGTCTGTCTGTCTCTCTGTCTGTCTCTCTGTCTGTCTGTCTGTCTCTCTCTCTCTCTCTCTCTCTCTCTCTCTCTCTCTCTCTCTCTCTCTCTCTCTCTCTCTCTCTCTCTCTCTCTCTCTCTCTCTCTCTCTCTCTCTCTCTCTCTCTCTCTCTCTCTCTCTCTCTCTGTCTCTCTCTGTCTCTCTCTCTCTCTCTCTGTCTCTCTCTCTCTCTCTCTCTCTGTCTCTCTCTCTCTATCTCTGTCTCTCTCTCTCTCTCTCTCTATCTCTATCTCTCTCTCTCTCTCTATCTCTATCTCTCTAATTCCCAGTGTAATTACTGTACCTAAGTGTAGTTACATGATGAGAGATATTCATGGTATCACATCTTTCCAGTAATCTCTGTTATATGATGATTTGAAACTACAGTACTGTAGGTCTTGGCCTCCTCACTCAACTTGTTCCAACCATCTACCACTGTTTGCAAAAGCAAACTTTCAAATTTTTGGACAGCTTTGTTTCCTTAGTTTGAATCTATGTCCTCTTGTTCTTGAAGTTGCAGGTTTTAACAAATTCTTCTGTCGCTTTTGGCAATTCCTGTTACTATTTTGTTTGTAGTGATAATATCCCCTCCTTTTCTTCTAGTTTCTAGCAACTCTTTGTTTTTTAGTTCCAGAAGCCATTTAGTTGTATGTCTGCATTTTTTCTCATTTAGTCATCTGCATCTAGAGATATGGGCACCATACAATCCCTGCATATTCCAATTTTGGTCTCAAAGGTTGTGAATTTTTAAAATATTTTGCCATCCATGTTTTTAAAGATTCTAAAGTAGGAAAGCATAGCATACGTTCCTCACACAATGTTCTTTGTGTGCTTCTCAGGTGAGTTTTCTATCCAGAACCACCCCTAGATTTCTCTCTGAGAATTCTTTAAAGTTTTTATCACATAATTTCTAAGTTGTGTGTGGCTTATTATCTATTCCACATTTCATAATGTGGCATTTATTCACATTAAATTCCATTTGCATGTTATTCTATACACTCATTTTGTGTATAATTATCTTCTTAAGTTTCTTATCTTCCCTAATAGCTTGACATCAACAGACATGTTCATATAATTTTGTATTCTTTCCAGTAGATCATTTATATAGTTTCTCTTAATTCTTGTCTAAATCTATCTTGTTTATTTCTTCAAATTCATGCCCTTCATTTTCCATGTTTCATTTTCTTTCACTAGTTCCTTTATTTGTCCTTCCTTATCTGTCAAGCTGACAACTTCCTGCTCCTTCTGCAAAATGCTGCCTTGTAAAAAGTTAATTTTATTTTTATTATTATTTCTTCCATTTCTGTATCTAATGAAACAAATTTTCCTTCATGAATCTTTAGAAGGTCAACTTTCACTAATCTGCCCATAAAACCTCTATTTTCTTATTTATTCCTCAGTGAACCCCTTGAAATTTACATCTTTTATTGACAGTTCAGTTCACATGGTGTCAGCCATTTTGTTTATTTTTATTCTCATCTGCTTCTATATGATAGATCTTGTTTTAAATTTAAAAAAAATTGTATACAATACAATCTCTCTCTTCAGATAATCATCACTTTACTTTTTATAATTGACCTCAGTATGTTTTTATTTTTAATTTTGTATTTATACTACTGTATACAAGAGTTCTTACATTCTTGTAACATAGCACACACTATCACACATAGCTTTTCAGGCAGGTCCTTAATCCTAATTTTCCCTGGGATACGACCTGTCAAATTATTTTAAAAAACAGGTACCCATTCACTGCTGGTTGAACAGAGGCGTACAGTAAAGGACTGGCACGTTGTCAATCCTCCCTGCCCAGGATACAAACTCAGTCCAAATCACTCACGAAGCACAAGGCGAGTGTTTACCACTGCGCCACGGGGGCCGCTAAAATGTTTATGATGTCTGGGACACCACATGTGAACCTCTCACCCACACTATCACCTAACTAATAATGAGTTAATCCTTCAGCTCTCCATGACGTGGTCGTCGACGTGTGTCATGTTTTGTGTATGGCTACTCAAGTGATGTATCAATGCTCTCTAGCTACACTTGGTCAGTATTGTGATGTATGAACACTCCCTTGAGCTATACCTGGTCAGCATCGTAATGTAACATTTCTCCTCGAGTGTTTACATCTTCACATAAAATAGAAAAAACAGAGTCTGTTGTGTGGATTTTTTCAATTTTTGAGTTATGATTAGGACTCAAATCCACATCTGCCTTTTTCTTGGCCAGGTCTTGAGAAACTACAATCATTGAAGTCATAGGGGTTCCATCTAAATCAAAATTCTGCATTTCAAATTTTCCTGGAAGTCTACAGGCATTAAAATTGTCTTCATCCTTATTTTGATTGAAACTCACATCAACCTCAATATCAATACCTTGTGCATAAGGCATTGACTCTGCATTTTGTGAATTCATACACTCCAGCTGCATTATTCCCATTTCTGTATTTAGAATATGACTTTCATTTGTAGTTAAGATGTCACTATTAACAAATTTGTTATTTTTTTCTGAATACTCACCAAATTTTGTTGTTGCTTTAGACAAAATTAAATCTTGATTAGTTAATTCCGAATTATATGATTCATCACCAATATCATTCAAACTTTTCATTGCAGCATTAACAATTACAATATTATTAGTATTCCAAGAAGCTTCTGCCACTTCAGTACTATTCTGAGCTTGAAACGAATCATTAGCAACAGGTACAAAATTTTGCCTTTCTGATATTGTCTTGGTGTTTCCATTTCCACAATGTAATAATACAGAAGGTAAAGGACATCCTGGGCTGTCATCTTTACTAATTAAAGTGGAATTTACCAGAGCAGTTGCTTTGCTAGTCTGTGGGCAATATGGAATATCTATAGTGCCCTCCGAGCCTACAAGAATTATTTTATACTTAAATCGTTCAGGGTGGTCAAGAGGCCACTGGCTCATTTTCAGCTGCATCTTATATACATTATGAGTCAGTGACCAACATTCAGGCATGAACAGTGGGTTCATGGTGTCTAGGAAGTGTTGTCGCCATCTCTGCTCAAGTTTTACCAGACCAACCTTCTTGTACGCTTCATAAACCTTCTCTCCATGAGCTTGGTATCCTTCATTCAAGATCTTCACATCTAGGTTAGCTCCATCTTGTAGATGTTTTACACTTATTTCTTCAATATTAAAGTAATTTTTAACAATGCTCTCAAGTTCTTTGACTCTCTTTTCTGGAATGTTATCTTGACTTCTCAGCAATGCCCCAGCAGCATTCCTAACAATTTTGCGAGTATGGTCGATTGTGACTTTCACATCTTGTTCAGTACCTATGGGAGCTTTAAATTCTTTTGCTAACAAATACCTTAAGGCATTATCATGCAAGTTACTTAGCCTATGACATTCAAGGCAAAGTAGAACAACATCATGGCTCTGATGATCTTTCAGGATGTCAGGAAAATGTTTACGATATTCATGGGGCACTACATTTTTTCTAATGTAAGATTCATCTTCACCACACACAACACAAATATTGTGCCGTTCCTGAAGGTAAAATTTTCCATCATCCCTCTCAACTTGGGGGCGGCCAGCAGGTTCAAATTTGAGACGCACAATAAGTGGGTCCTCACTGATTAAGACTCCAAGACCCTTTTCTATATACCATTGAGCTTTCTTTGGGTCACAAGTGCATAGTGGCTGATCATCTGGGGCTCGAAGTTGGCAGTTATGATACAGAGGTCCCTTACGTGTGGAGTATGCTCGAGAGATGCTCTTTAACTTTGCGGAAGGTGCTGATCGACTGTTGGGTGCAACCCCTGTGGAAAATGTGTTATCATGATTAAAATGCCAAGCAACCCATCGTTCACCAAAACACAATGTCTCACCTTATCAACCTGTCTACAAGTAATTACACACTCCTATTAATTTTCTATTTTGGCGAGTCTGAATTTAAGCCATGGAGTAAATTTGCACAATCCAAATTCACGCAAAAAAAAAACAGCGTTGAAAGTAATGAAACACCATTTTCTGGGTGAGCCCCGGAGGCTCCCTGGAGCTATCGGACTGATATATGCTATATTAGTCTGGGGCACCATGAGCCAGAACCTGGCCCCCCTCAGGGAGCAATGACCTATACTGTACATTGCACAGAGAGCAATGGCTTATGGAAACTCCCATGTGTTTGGGAGAATTCCACGTCTACCATCAACTGGGGTTAGGCACCCAGAAAGGTAGGCATAACAAAACAGACCCTACTTGGTAAGAATTTGCAACCGAAGAACGAAAAGAGAGGCAGTACTCTCTAAAACTTAACTAAACAAGCAAGCAAGCAAATGTCATACAACACTGCCATGTCACTTGTTCACACAGCCCTCCCCTCCCTGGGAGGGGGGGGGAGGGGGAGCCTCAGACCCCCAAGCCAGCTACTCACACCTCAGTTCGGAGGTCGAGCATCAAAAAACTAAAACTGCCAACTGGAGGGTGCCAGGGAGCATCCAGGGCTCACCCAGAAAATGATGTCTCATTACATTCAACGCTGTTTTTTTTGCGTGAATTTGGATTGTGCAAATCCAAATTCACGGTGGGGAGGTGGGGAGCCTCTCCGGCTCCCTAGAGCTACCTAACTAAAGACAAATAAAGAGGGACTTACTCGAGAGGCGGCCGCCACGCACACATCAACTCGAAGGCAAGACAACTGGCTGCAACTTGCGACCCGAATCCATACACAAACAGCCAGAACCAGGAATACTGACCAGATAACGGGCGGCCAGGACACTGTTCAACCTCCAAAACCCCCGCGCCTGTATGTCAGCCCAAGACATGTTGTCAAACACTGCAGCCAAAGCAGCAAATCTACAAACATCATGGGCATGAGGGTAGACTGCAGGCTGGCTTGACTTAATAACCCTGTGGATGACCTGGGAGACCCGAGCCCTGGAACAGGGAACAAGGGAAACCGGATCAACCCAAAGCGCATCCCCAGCCACAGAAACCGTAGTGTGCAGATGACGGTGAAGAGCCGCAACCAAACACAACACATGATGTACCCCGGCCTGACCAACCAAGCATCAATGACCCAAGGACCCCCTCCAGAAGGCCGCCGTCTCATTCTTCACCAGAAAAGAAGGAGACTGCTGCAATCGAACAAACCGACAATCAGGACCGAAAAAGCAGAAACCCCTGTACTGGAGGAGAGCATAAAGCTCACCAACCTGACTCCCAGAGGCCAATGCCAACAGGAAAAGAGCCTTGCAAAAACAATCCTGAACTGAAGGGGCCACCACAAAACCGAGAAGAGAGAAAAGAGAGCACCGGGTCCAAAGACCAGGACAACTCAGGGGGGTACATGAGCAGGCCGGAGGTGAAACAACGCACAAGACAACTTGCAGAATGGGGCAGAAGTAACATCAACACCGAAAGCAAGCTGAAACGGCTCTGCCATTGCCGCACAATACGAGGTGACAGTATTTGGCATAAGATGACGGTCCTGGAACATCCACGAAAGGAAGGACAAAACAACCCTATCAGAGACCGAAGTATATCTACGCAGTGATAGGAAAAACCAGAAGGACCGCCATGAAACTTCATACTCCCACCGAGACGAAACATGAAGGTGGGAACCAACAACAAAGCTCACCTGCACCTCCATACAAGTGATGATAGAACTCGAGTCAGAAACTCCAGACGCGAAGTCTCGAGGAGAAGAACGAATCAGCCTTGTACCGGGCTGGGTTGATCTGCTGAAAGAGACGGAGCCGCGGGAAGACCCTCAGATTCAGACATGGAGCAAGCAGCGCCTGAAACCAAGGCTGGGCTGGCCACCAAGGAGCCAGAAGGACAACTCTTCCCTGGTAAGTCTCCAAGCGAGCCAGGACCTGGAGCAACAGCTGAACTGGGGGAAAGAGGTACAGGTAACCCCACTTTGCCCAGTTCAGCCTGAAGGTGTCGAAGTCGGGGAAGGGCGCCCTGTATACTGGGAGACGACTCGTCCACGCCGACACGAAGATATCCACCTTCGGGGGCGCAAAAGTCAGGCAGAACCAACTGAACAAGTTGGCGTTACCGTCCATTTCGTGGACAGGGGGATGAACTGGGAAAGGCTGTCCGCCGGGACATTGGTCACACCCTGAACGTGAACTGGCAGGAAAGCCAAGGACCTCATGGAACCCTCTTAGTTCAGGCAATGAACTGCCGGGGAACAGTCCTAATGAAGCCTGATCATCGATCTGCGAGTGACTCGAATCCTCTGGAGCGACATTCATACAGCTGCGAACTCTCGCACCATGCTGCGATCCCGACAGAAGGACAGGCCCCACCAACCCTGGCCGGCCTGGTGAGCACTGGTCACAAAGCCCCAGCCAAGAGACGACGCACCCGTGAGTACAATGAGTGAGGGCTCAGGTAGGCGCCAAGGCACTGAACTCTGAAAAACCCAAGGAGGATGCCGGCAACTCAGCAACGGACACAAAGCCCCTGGAGGCCGAACCCAGCGGTCGCAAGAGAGGCAGAAGGGACGTCCACGAAGGAACCAGAACAGCTGATGAAGCCAAACTTGATCCGGCGGGTAGACCAACATTGCAAAGTTCAGGCTCCCGCACAAACTCTCGAGCAACCGCCACATGACCCGGAAGCCCCTCAGGAACAGATGAAGGGAAGGAATGCAGGCGAAGCAGAGCCGCTAGAGGAAGAGACAAGGAAGCGGTCCGTGCGTCCCACACAAGATCCAGCCAAGATTGAACCTGAGAGAGAACCAGATAGAACTTCCACCAGTTCACCAAGAACCCAAACCTGGCGAGCTGGGAAAGAACCAAATCCCTGGCGAGCAGACACGTGGACTGGCTAGGAGACCAAACCAGCCAATTGTCGAGGTAGCCCAGAACCCAAACACCTAACAGGCGCAGACGGGCCACCACGACCCAAGTAAGGCATGTGAAAATGTGAGGTGCCAGATTCAAGACGAAGGGAAGGCAACGGAAACGGTCATCTTGACGCCCCACAACAAAACCGAGCCAGTCCCTAAACCTTGGTTGAACTGGGACGTGCCAATACATGTCGTTGAGGTCCAGGGACACCATCCAAGTGCCCGGCTCCAACAGAAGACGGATCTGGGAGAGAGTAGTCATCCGAAAGAAGCAGCAATAAATCCACGGGTTCAGATGGGATAAGTCCAGAATGAACCGGAGATCCGCACAGTCCCGTTTTGAGACCGGAAACAGGCAGGAAACCCCCCTAAGGGTCGAGGTCGTTTCGACCACGCCCAGATTTCCGAGATGGCTCGACAGAGCGCAGGAGAAGAGGCCTGCCCCACCAGCCCTGAACCCCCCGGAGTAGGAGCCACCCAACGCCACCACAAGCCACACAAAATGACCCGAAAGGCTCACGAATTGTGGGACCAGGCGGGAGCAAACAGAGCAAGCCTTTCCCCCATTGCCCCGTCAATGGGACGAACCACAAAAGGGCCAACGCACCTTACGAGAACCTAAGCGGCACACAGGGCGATCCCCGTGCCGACCAGAAAAAGATGGAACCGGAAGTTGCGCCTGCCTTGGATCTGGCACCACTGGCCTATCACGAAGGAAAGAACCCCGAGCCCTGGTACAACCCTTCCGGGAAGGCCCCCTTGAGCCCCCCGGAAAACCAATAAGTAGGACATAGGACGGCAACTAATCTAAGCCGCCTGCAGATACTGCACCATCGCCGACTGCAAACAGCAACGGACAAAAAGGCAAGGGTCTGGGGCTCCCCCCCACCCCCGGGAAAGGGGGGGTTGTGCGGACACAACCCAACCCACAAGTGATGATGTTGCTGATTGTGCCCCAATCAGCACCATCACCACTTCCTACTTAAGGTCAAACAAAGGCTACAAAACCCTAGCTGGCCCCAAAGGCAGGGTAAATGCCGAGCAGTAAAAACCTCTACAGAAGTGGAGTCCCGAAGGCTCTATGGAAGGTAACCCTAGAACCCAAGGGTAGAACTTATGCCCTATAAGTGACCAAAAGTGCCAAAAGAACAGAACCCTTGCTTCCAGAGAAGAGCCTGAAGTTCCCCAACAATACAGCTGGAGGTGAGAGCCAACAAACACACAGCCTTAGAAAATATATCACAAGCCTAGGGAAGGTAGGCCTAAGTGCATGCAGCCCCAGTACACTGTAGTTACTCCTGCACCACAAATAGCAGGAACACCACGAAGGCACAAAATCTGCCAAGAAATCAAGGCCAGAGTTAACAACCGCCCCAGAGCGCATCAGCTTACGATCTGAGGTGTGAGTAGCCAGTGAGTGGGGGGTTTGGGGCTCCATCCCAGGGAAGGAGAAGGCTGCGCGGACAAGCGGCACGGCGGCGGTGTATGAAGTTGTATATTTGCTGGTTTATTTAAGTTTTGGGGAGTTCTACCTCTCTGTTTGGTCTTCGGTTGCAATTTCTTACCAAGTGGGGTCTGTTTTGTTATGCCTACCTTTCTGGGTGCCTAACCCAGAAAGTCGATGGCAGACATGGAATGCTCCCAATCACGTGGGGGTTTCCATAGGCCATTGCTCCCTGTCCCTCTCTGAGCGGGCCAGGTTCTGGCTCGTGGTTCCCGGTAGGCTGAACTCCGTTGACTGATGCCCCAGACTAATATAGCATATGTCAGTCAGATAGCTCCAGTGAGTCAGAGGGGATCCCCACAGAAATTACCTATAAGTTAACTATGTACACAAAATATGGAATTTATCTTAAAATAGGTTGAGTTGTTCAATAAAATAAACAGAGAAAGAATATAGTACAGAAGATCCTTGCACAATATGAGAGAAGAACCTCAGGAAACTTGTAGTGCACAAAAGAGTATTCCACAAAATAGCAACTTTGGGGTGCAACATGAATGTTAGAATGAGAATGTTTGGGAGGAACTATGATGGAAGAATAATCCAAAAAGTGTGTAAGACACAAGAACAACCCACAGTAAATTGCTCCACATTGAACACCCTTGTTGCAAGTGATCATCTTCTCTTCTGGAATTTGTCATAAAATATAAACAATTTGCATTTATATTGCATGAAGACTGTCCGCATAATTTATGTTTGTGTATTGGTAAAATAATGAGGTAATTACTTAAATATATCTGTAAAGTATAATCAGTTTTGTAACAAAAAGTGTTACTGTATCATACAATTGCAATGAGAAATTGAGAAGACTTTCGTAGTACATAAAGTTCTGCACTGAAGAGAGCTTTCATGGACTGGAAAAGGCTCAACTATATTGTTGTCAGCACTTTGTGTTTCTTCCACACCAAGTCTTATTGGAGTCAAATACAAAACAAACTACGATATCCTCAGTGGGCAAACAAAATGTTGAACGATCTAAGCAATCAACTATGTGAGGGGGAAAAAATCAGCGTTGAATGTAATGAAACTCCATTTTCTGGGTGAGACCCCAGAGGCTCCACAGAGCTATTCGGGCTGATACGAATGTATTAGATCCTGGCATCAGTCAAAGTGAATGGAATTCTACGCCTACTGGGGACCACGAGCCAAAACCTGCCCCCCCCCCCTCAGAAAAGCACAAGGAGCAATGGCCTATAGAAACTCCCGGTGTGATTGAAAGCATTCTATGTCTGCCATCAACCGAATCAGGCACCCAGAAAGGTAGGCGCCCCAAAACAAACCCTATCTGGTTAAACAAAATTGCTACAGAAAGCCGAACTGTTGGACAGAACTCCCCAAAAGGAAATGAGCAAACAAGCATTGCTCCTCGTGCCTCTCTGAGGGGGGCCAGGTTCTGGCTCGTGGTCCCCGGTAGGCCTAGTACTCTATTCACTTTGATGCCAGGGTCTAATACATTCATATCAGCCCAAATAGCTCCAAGGAGCCACTGGAGCTCCCCCCAGAAAAATGGCCTAACATATGTAATGAAGAATAAGTTAAATATTTTTTAAACCTATCCAGTACTATTCTGCATAAAAAAATATCATTATTCCTTAAAACATAGTTCTATGGTTAACTCGCCCCACTTCATATATATATATACCTAAAATAAGACTGAGAAACATTAAATGCTATTTTCTGAGTGATCCATAGTGGCTCCTTGGAAAATGCAAGCCTTGGAACAGGGGACCAAGGAAACAGGGTCAACCAGGCATCCACCAAGCCAGAACCAGTGGCTAACAGGTAGCAGCGAGGAGCTGCCACCGGACACAGCAAAGATACATCCCCAGCTAAACCAAACAAGCATCAATCACCAAAGGCCCCCTCTGGAAGCCTGTGAATCATTCTTCGTCAGAAAAGAAGGTGAAGGCTATAAATGAACAAACTGCCCAACAGTACCAAAAGAACCGAACCCCTGCTTCCAGAGAAGAGCCTGAAGTTCCCCAACCCTACAGTTGGAGGTGAGAGCCAACTAACACACAGCCTTAGAAAAGATATTACAAGTTAAAGAGGAAACCGTAAACCGAGGCGAGCAGAAAAAAACAAAACCTGGCCAAGAGACCAGGACTGCTCAGGAAGAGCATGAGCAGGCTGAAATATGCATAAAGTGTGAAGGAAACAGTTTATAATAATAGTTTGATGTATTACTACTGTACCTGCATTGAGTTGCTTGCCAGAATATGAGAACTTGACATCAAGCACACTGTGACAAGTTTGGTGAATAGCTGTGGACAGGTGGTAGTGCCACATCATAGATGGCAGGATGGGAATTAGTAAAGACGATGGCACCCATAGCTTCTCCATTAATCTCATCAAAATGTGAATACCCACCAGAGCATCATCAGCAGCATAACTCTCCTAAAAGTGAAGACAATGCAACATGTTCATTCAGTACTCACCTTAATCCATCCATATCTCCATTGCATAATTCAACATGAGCAACACCCTTCTAAAGAAACTTCAGGAGAACAATACAAACTTTAAACATTCAACAAGAGGGACAACATTTTCTAAATGCAAAATTACTACTATACAGTTGACCCTCATTTTGAGTTTGCTTTTATGAAAACCTGTGCAAAGCCTGATCACATCAAAATAAAATGTTTATGGGAAAATAGGGTTAAAATAATAATTTTATTAAGAGAAAGGAGAAGACAGGGGCGGGAAGAGAGACCCAGGTGCATCTAGGGTACCCCCCAGATTATAATAAACATGTTTATACAGGTGAAATATCTTTAAAAATTGGTGTTATAATTACCTGACCAAGAGCAGGTACCAAAGTGACTAATTGCATGGCATGCACTGAAATATATAAAAACTGTACCTGTCTCTTGCTTAAAGTTTCAGCTTCCCAGTTGCTTGCACGTATTCGCCAGTCCTTGTCCAAAGTGAGGCCGAGGTAAGCTTGCGAGAGAGCATTTAGCCCCATGCCAGCAGCCAGTTTTTCTGCCTCTGGTGTGACCTCTGTACTAGACAACTGAGACTTGCGACACTGGAGAACGAGATACCGCAGGTCAACACATCCTTGCACCTGTTAAAACATAAATGTAAATGATCACTAAAAACTATTATTATTATTCAGGCAAAAGAACCAAAATAAAATCTGAAATATAAAGGTCCAAGGTATAATATTTGCCTCTTACCCTAAGGCAAACAAGGGAGACAAAACACCCAAGTACCCAAAGGGTGGCTGAAAGACCGAGCAGTAAAATGACCCAGCAGAGGCAGGACCCAAAGAACTTGTAGAAGGTAACCCCAAGCTCCAAGGGCAGTACTTACAGGGCACCTAAGGAAGGGAACCCTAGGCGCATGCAGCCCGAGTACTGGAGAATAACTCCTGACTCTCGCACCCCTAGAAGACAGCCATCACACTCAAAGCACAATGCCGAAACAATGTCAGGGGGAATGACAGAGCACAGGACCGGAGCCTCTAGCATCAGCCTAAGAACTGACGGGTGGATAGCCGGCATAGGGGGTCTGGGGCTCCCCCTTCCCCCTCCTGGGGAGGGGGGTGAGCTGTGCAGACAGCGGCGCAGCAACGTGTGACATCATGCTCATTTGCTCGTTTTCTTTTAGGGGAGTTCTATCCACTTGATCGGCTTTTGGTAGCAATATTTTCACCAGAATAGGGGATTGTTTTGGGATGCTTACCTTTCTGGGTGCCTGACCCGGTCGATGGCAGACATAGAATGCTTCAAACCACACGGGGGTTTCTATAGGCCATTGATCCCCATGCCTCTCTGAGGGGGGCCAGGTTCTGGCTCATGGTCCCCGATAGGCTCACAGAACTCCATACACATGACTGATACCAAAGTCTGACATTAGCATATCAGCCTAGTAAGCTCTGGGGAGCAGAAGGGGGCTCCCCCAAGAAAATTCAGGTGATTTCATGGTATTCATTACATAGTATTGATGTTATGCAGAAACCATAGATATTGATAAAATGTTTATTGTTGGTGGCCACATTATTTCCAAATGAAAGCCAACTTTTGGCGGGATTGTAGATCTTCCAATTTGACTTTGCTTGCCACCGAGAGAAAGGTTTATATAAACCATAAAGAGGTTACAGTATCATTATCTACAAACATACGAATATGAGGAAACTAAAAATGAGCAGTAACTGTACCGCTCTATAACAGAAGAATAAACTGGTCCACTACCTTTATACTAACTTTATGCTTGTTACTAATGTGTAGTTGATAGCACAATACTAATTACCTTCAGGTTGTAATCTGCTGCCAGAAAGTTGCTGTCTTCGAGGGAACCAACTCCCACTTTAAGAATTGTTTTGTCTTCTAAAAAGCTCTGGAAATATAAATCACAATTTTAAATAATAAATAAATTTAAACAATAAATTACTCTTCATTCACTATGCAATTACAATGCTTCCTTAGGTTGTAGAGAACACAAAATACTGACAAAAATATAAAGAAACACCAGGATTAGAGTAGACCATTTTTATCTGTAGTGGAATATTAAATCTAACAGATCATACAGAGGCAGGTCTAGGGCTGCTCTACTAGAAATGGCGTTGTTGAAATTTTTACAGTGAAAACCTAATTCAATATCTTTCTCTCTCTTTCTCTCTCCATCTTCTGTTGTGTTATTGTAGTGTAGGCTACAGCATTTTTGAGAAGGTCAAGCACTTGGCTATTATATGACTATATTCATGATAACACCACTCCCTTTGCTGTGGTGATACGACATCTACAAATCAATACCTGGTACTTACTTAAATAGAGATCTCAGATGACTTCATCCAAACTATAATGCAAGCTAAAAAAAATTCACAAGCAAATTCTCCAGCCATTGTTACAGCAGGCATTCTGAATATATTTAGCTAACAATCAAATCTTAAACATTAAATCATAAACAAAAATCATATCAATTCATACTACCGTTTACAAATTATGGAACTGATTTAATTTGATTAATTTACATCAATATTTAATTTGCACAGTACTGTATTTAAATAAAGTACATAAAACAAGCTTTATTTAGTCATAAAATTCCAAGCCTGTAGCATCATAAAGTAGAACTTACTTTGAGTGTGTTAGGAAAATTGGGCTTCATGTGTGAAAGTCGTAGCAAGATGCATAACCCTGAACATGCGGCCAGCTGGAGGAGTGCCACAGGACGACGGTGGCCTTTTGCCTGTACCCACTCACAGTCAAAGCCTACAGCTCCATCTTGTTGGGCTTCCCTGATGAGAATACAAAAAACTGCTATACAAATCTATTAAATGTTGCTTGAATTTGGTAAAAACTTAAGAATGAAACTCCCCTGAAGTAAAAACCCAGCAGTGAATATGATGAAATGCCAATTTCCGGTGGAGCCCCCAAGTGGCTCCTTGAGACTATATTCCTGAGATTGTTTCAAACTAAAAGGTCACATCAGTTGCAGAAAGTTCTGTTTGGCCTACCGGGGACCAGTGCATAAACCTGGCCCCCTCATGAGAAATGCAGGGAGTGGGTGACAATCCGCTACCTCACCAAAAGAAGTTCCAGCAAGTCAGTGCATTTTTACAGACAACTGGAGGATTCACAGAAAACGAAGCCTCGAAAAACTGTCAAACAGTTATGCAAACAAATCCCACGAAACATTCATTCAAACGAGCTCAAAGCTTGTTAGTATTAATAACCACCACCAGGTGGCCCAGATGGCTCCTGAAGTCAGTTCTGGATCTGATGAACAAATCCATACTGAACTGAAGAACCTCCCACCCTCCAGAAATTGACATTTCATTATATTCAATGCTGGATTTCTGGAGGGACACCCTTGTGGCTCCCTGAAGCTAACTAACCATATAGAACAAGAAAGCTACTTACCAGGAAGAGAAGAAATGGCAGGCCTCTAAGAAGAAGAAGAAGAGAAACCAGGCCAGGTGACATGGCCTAAAGCCACACACAACCAAATGGGCCTTGAAATATTAACCCTAACATCAGGCCGCCAGCACCCTATTAGAATGTCAAAACCTCGGAGCCCAAATATCAGCCCAGGACACGTAAGAGAAGATGGTGGCCAAAGCCGTATATTTGCGAACATCATGGGTCCAAGGGTAGACTGCATGTTGGCTAGAAATCCAGTATGCATGCAAAGGAAAGAATGACACTGCAAAGAACCTGAGAAATGTAAGCCTTGGAACAGGGGTACCAAGGGAATTGGATCGATCAACATAACATCCACCGAGACAGAACCAGTAGCATGCAGGTAGTGGCAAAGAGCCACCATGGGACTCATCAAATGATGTACCCCCAGCCGAACCAACCAAGCATTGATCACCAAAGGATCCATCCAGAAGCCCACCAGAAGCCAGAAAAGGAGATAGTGAGAAAATAACAAATTGCCCACCAGAGCCAAAAGAACAATTCCCCCCCTCCCCTCCCCTTTGGAAGTGGGAGTACTCTCACTTCAGGCTCCCCGTGCTGGTGAGCTTGAAGATTCCCAACCTGGCATGTTATTAACATTAGTGCAGACGACATCAAGGCGCAACTGCAGGATGCTGACATTCTGATCTTCGGTGTCAGGAAATTTATGCGTATGACTCATGGTGAACTGTGTGATACCAGCACTGCCCTACATATTTTTCTTGATGTCTTTCCCCCTGATTGGGTTTGGGTTAATGGCTGCCTCCATAAATTGGAAGTGTACGTCCTTCGTCCCACTCAGCGCTTTCGTTGCAAGGGTTTTCACCATACCACACAAGGCTGCACCAACGACGTCAAATGTGGCAAATGCTCTGGTTCCCATTACACTCGTGACTGTGTATCCGATATGCTCTGCTGCCCCAACTGTGGTGGCGATCATGCAATTACATTCAAGCACTGTTCTTCCTATGTAGCGGCACTCACTACGGCTCTTTTCTCCGTCACCCTGCCTTCCAGTCGCGCTTTGCTTCATCCTGACCTAGTTCATCATCATCCACTGCTTCCCACTCTGCCGCCGCCTTTGCCTGTGCCTGACCTGTCTGTCACTGACGTTCCTCTAACCCCTGAGACCTCTTCTCTCCAACCCGCCGTACAACTGAGTCCCAATCTTGTTGACATTATTGTCACTCGCATTGCGGATGCACTAAAGAAGGCGCTGGTTCGACTCCTCATTGAATTCTTTCCACAATCTGTCCTCCACGTTCCTGAGGCTAACCTGATGCACCGCTCCTCCACTTTTCCTATGAGTGACATCCAACCTACCACAGCTGCCTCTGCTATCTCCAATGCATTTGAAATGATGCTGGGCAATGCCGTTCAAAACTCTTTGGTGCGCCTTTCCTGTGTCTCTCTCTTTGGGCTGCCTTGCCACAAATCTCTACCCCTAGTACTAAGAGAAAGCAATCCTTTCTCGTCACGACTTCCAAGCACCCTGCCACCTTGCCTGACAGGCCCCATAAGCCAAACTCTCCTACGACTTGTCTTCGCACCACTCCTAGGTCTTCCCTCCATTGTCCTGCTGGCGCTTCTAAGAAGACTGATGCATTTGCATCCCAGCCATAAGGTTCCGGATTCTGTCTACGTGCCTTGCCCTGTCCTAATCTCACATGTCCTGACCTGACTTCCTCTGACCTTCCACACATTCACTCCGTGTACCTTCCTCTGCTCGCACCTCCCTTACTTTCTCATGTCTGCTTAGCGCCTGCCTCCTACATATACTTCGCCTCATTATTCTTCGCCTACATGTATTCCTCATTATTCCCGTCCTGCGTCACTTTCCTCTTATCTGTTCCTTTTGCCTTTATCCTCACCCACATGGACAACGTCATTATCTTCCCGCCTCTGTCACATCGTGACTATTGATGTGCCGCTGTACATAATGTGACATAACATGCCGTTAGGTTAGGTTATGTAAAGCGGCACATTATTATGTTAAATTCAACATAGCAAGTATTATAATATTTACAAGTTATCACAGTCACACACTCAGCATACTTGAAGCATATTATTTATGCACAATATCTACATGCACTGTACACATTCCAAATAATTGTTTAATAATTGATTCAAGAAATCTACAAAACATATCACATACAGTGCCTTTATGAATACTATATAATGAAATTAATGAGCCACAAGACCTCTGTAGATGTGGACAAATTGTTTTAAATAATATGGTTACTGACAAAATAAATATTTTTATTATTTTGAAATAAAGTCTAAATGCGATGCAAGTCTAAAGAACCTACATTGCAAAGGATTATTTCCTACAAAGAAATGACACTAATCATTCCTACCTCAAGAGCAATGGCTGCACTTTTGCCCAACCTTCCTCACAGGTCACCACATGAACTGTCCTCTCTGCTGCCTTTACTGATCTCACCAGCCTCCAAGAACATATCTTCTGCACAATGGCCTTGCGGTGAAAAAGCAACATCCCTGTACTACCCACACCCAGCAGGATGCTGCTAATCAAGGCTGGGTGTTCACGTATCCAATTGTTGGTCATCTTTGCATGATGGCCAGAGTCATCACCCTGAAATGTAAATATACTACAGTGTTGCAGTGTACATACTGTATGAACTTATAGTACCATGTATACAGTATAATATAATGTATTTATGGTATAGAACCATGCCATACATTGGTGAAATCAACTAGGAAGAGATTCATACATATACAGTAATGTATATTGAAGATTATCATTTTCTTATTAGGAATGTAAAAAATAAAGAGAAAAAGCATTATTCAACTATAAAACACATCAAAATGCCAATTTCTGGATGAGCCCCCAGTGGCTCCTTGAAGCTGTATGCCAAGATAGTTACCATCTACTGGGTCACATCAACCGTAGAGTTCTAGAGGCCTACCAGAGACCAGAGCCAGAACCTGGACCCCTGATAAGAGGCACAGAGTGTGGTGACATTTATTTTTGCTACCTCACCATCAGTCAAAACCTGGGCTCCCAGTGCTAAGGTAGATGTAGACATTCACCAGGTGACCCGGAAGATCAGGGAGCCACTGGGGCTCACCCATTGGCATTTTATTACATTTAATGCTGATTTTCTGGGGAAGCCCCTTGTGACTCCCTGAAGCTACCTACCCATGGAGAAGGTAAAAACATAGGAGCTTACCAGGGAGGAGGGAGCACCTCAGGAATCAGGACAAAGACGAGACTTCCATCCGAGAGACATGACTCATGACCACACATGAGCGCCGAGACTAGGAATATTCGCTAAATACCGGGTCACCAGAATCCTATTTGACTTCCAAAACCCTTACACCCAAATATCAGCCCTGGATATGTCCACACACACAGCCAAAAGAATGGCATACTTTCTAACATCACGGGCATGATGGTAGACCACAGGCTGGCTAGACTTAATAACACTGCGGATGACCTGGGGAATACTAGCCTTGGAACAGGGGTTATCTTGAGGTTATCTTGAGATGATTTCGGGGCTGTTTAGTGTCCCCGCGGCCCGGTCCTCGACCAGGCCTCCACCCCCAGGAAGCAGCCCGTGACAGCTGACTAACACCCAGGTACCTATTTTACTGCTAGGTAACAGAAAGAGTGTGGGTGAAAGAAACTCTGCCCATTGTTTCTCGCCGGCGCCCGGGATCGAACCCGGGACCACAGGATCACAAGTCCAGCGTGCTGTCCGCTCGGCCGACCGGCTCCCCCAACCGGGGGACCAAGGAAAGAGGATCAATCCACAAGATATCCACTGAAGGAGAATTGATGCCACAAATGTAGAGGTGGAGAGCCGCCACTGAGCACAGCACATGATGTACCCCTGGCCAAACCAACCAAGCATAAATGACCAAAGGACCCCTCCAGGAGCCAACTGATTCATTCTTTGACAGAAAAGAAAGAGCCAGCTGCAACAAACATAATGCTCACTGGGGTTAAAGGAACAAAAACCTCACCTTAACACCCTGAGGCAAGAGAACCCAAAACCAAATCCTTAGAAAAGGAATCTAAGAATGAAAGGGATACCATGAATTGAGAAGAGGAAAGAAAATAAGCACACGGTCCAAATACCAGGCAGGCTCCGGTGATGTATGAACAGGACGGAGGTTACCTTGTGTGTAGCTTCCAGGGATCAATGGCCCCACGTCCCAGTCTCCGGCCAGGTCTCCTGAGGTGAAACAAGGTGTGAGACAACTTGCAAAATGGTATGGAGGTAGTACTGTCCCTGAACACAAGCTGTAGTGGCTCCTCCGGTGCCACATGATATGAGGAGACAATATTCAGCATGAGATGCCGATCAAAAAAAAGCCAAGAAATTAGAGCAACCTCATAAACTAAAGCACAATGACAAAAGGAAAGGAAGTGGTGAAAGGAGTCCCATGAAACCTCATATTGCCACTGAAAAGAAGAATGCAGTTGGGACACCATCAAAGAAGCCAACTGCTTGCCATAAAGATGGCAATAAAGATGCTTACAAATTTCACACACAAAGAGCCAAGGAGACAGTTGAAGCAGTGAAATATATCACAAAGCCAACCTCCTGATTGAGACGGAGCCATAGAAAAACACCTGGGTTCAGACACCAACAAAGCGCTTGAAACAAAGCCCAAGCCAACCACCAGAGAGCTAGAAGGATCACTTGCCTCTGGGAGGACTTCAACTTGCGACCTGTCATATGGCTCCACAGATGAACTACCTCAACCCACAGCAAGATATGCCCCAGCCTTACCCGACTACCACCATGAATGAGACCGAGAACCTTGAGAGTAGAGAAAGTACAAAATAGGCCGACAGGCTGCAGCCTCTGGGGAGAAGAATTGCACCACCTCTCCTCAGGAAAGAGGAGAGGAGAAAACAGCAAGGTGGAAAGGAGAGCCAAGGCGAATATTGAATCCAAGGATTGAGCCAACACAGCCTGTCGACGTGCGAGTCTGGTAGCGAAGAATGTGGCCACGGCATGCCAGAACACGAGCATATAGCTTGGAAGTGCAGCCGACACTGCCACAGCAGAGCCCAAGACCCCCACATGTGGCCCACCTGTCACACACTACAATGTCCTCCTGGAGTCAATCAGAGCGAAGCTCCAGGAAACCCAGAAAATACGACAGAACCCAAATGTAGACGGGCCCGAAGGTCATCTGCCACAAGCACCGCTGACAAGGAAACCTAGGCATGGAGCTGCACGAGACCCATGTCCTGAGAAAGAGCGTGAGCACACAATCAGTCATTGAGGGGCCCCAGAAATCACAGTTGAGAGCCCTGGGAAGGAGCCGGCAGCTGAGCCCACCGCCCAGGATAGAAAAGCAGAATCCAAAGGAAAAGCTTAAGAGGAAGGCAGGCCTGGCTGAGAGGAAGACCCAGAATCCTCACCGGAAATACCAGCTCAACCGCCTCTGCACCCGATTCTGATGTTCATTCAGTGAATGAACATGAATGAATGAATGAATGTGATATTCATTCAGAATTCATTCAAGTAAAATTCATGACCTATATAAATGTTCATAGCCAATATATATGTGAGAAAGTGGTGGAAGCCAAAACAATCAACAGTTTCAAAAGCGTTATATGAAAGAGTATTGTACTGGGAAGATGGGACACCATGAACATAGCTCTTGTTACAAAAAAGGATGCTCTGTAGGGTCAATGTTTAAGGAAAGGGAGTTCCAGTCAATGGGGTTATGTAATGCCCAGCCCCCAGGGAAAACAATTCCCAGCAAAGAATAAATAACAAGTTAGGCAAGATTGGCACTCTGCAAGGCACCAGGATTGTAGTGCCTCTATTTTCACAGCTCTTATCCTGTAACTATATTTAGATAATTACACATACAATCAACCTCATTGCCAATGCTCTCAAATTTCTCAGGCTCACAAAAATTTTCCCACGAATACAATCATTTGACCATTTGAATTTTATAATCCTCAAATTTTACTATAATGTACCTACAAACTCTTCGTCAAATTTTCTTACAATGTACCTGTAAACATTACTAAATTTTGCTAGAAATTATCTACTTAAAATTATCTGTTTGATTAAGAACCTGCCCGAAACATTGTGTGAGTTAGTGGCTTTACAAGAATATAAAAACATCAATGCTATGTCCTCTCATAAACCCAATGTACCTTCTTGTATATACATAAATAATTACATAAATAAATAACAAAGCTTTGTTTTGCACAGCTTGTAATACAAAGATCCTTAGGGAAATAAGAAACGTCCTGTAGTATAGTGGTCAGTGCAATCAGGTCACAACTGAGTGGCTCCAGGTTAAGTTCCTGTGGCAGGACAGAAATGTTTGGTGAATGCAGTTTTAACAATTAAAATTGAAGTTTTTTGTCAAAAAGCTTGTGTACGACAGTAGTTATTAAAAAACAGCCAAAGGTTATCTCATTCATGTCATTGCAACACCCTGTAGCGAGTAATCCTTATACTCGCTCGCTCCATTATCTCATTATCTTAATGGCATAACTAATTAGCACTAACTACACAAGCTATAATCCTATCCCTAATTACAGGTAACAGTTCTCACATCCTCCTATCCTAGTAGAGAAAGGTGAGGGGTAGTCACCAAATATAAGGAAGCGATATGAGAATAGACAACAGTACAATTTCCAGTCAAGAATGTAGCACTCGGCATAGGCAGTTCTAATCGTCTCCAAGACGCTACAGCTTCGACACAGAACAGGCAGCAGACTAGGATCGCATCGAGCTACAACGCTCTCCCACATAGAGCTCCGCGACTCCGGCCACACTCAGCTCTCTGCTCTGTTCCAAGCTCCGTCTCAACGTCTATGACACTGCTGTATCCACGACTACTAAATAAACATGAAACTCACTAAACACTGTGTATCTAATCTACCCAACAACGTAACATATTCGTACGTTACAACCCTTTTTAAATTTAAACGAACCTATTTTCACCCAAACTAAAAAACTATAAATGTATGTTCTAAACCTTAAGCAAGATCCTAGCTTCCTATCCTCACTACATCAACAGGACAAATTCACCTGCGGGTAAATTTAGTGACACAGTCTTTTCTTCATGGTAGATGCAGTTAGTTTAGTTTAGGTCATTTATTATGCACCCCATACCCATGTTGTGGGCGCTAGTGGAAAGGGTTACAGAGGCAGATAATGAGCTCAGGGACTGGACCCCATAATTCATTTAACTAAGCAAGTTACAATCTTGATGAGCTAGTTACAGATGCAGTTCATGTTAAAGTTTGCTAAATGAATTATTGGGTTCAGTCCCTGAGCCCATTACGAACCTCTGTAACCCTTTCCACTACTGCCCACAAGATGGGTATGGGGTGCATAATGAATGAACTAAACTAACTGCATTTACCATGAAGAAAAGACTGTGTTACTTACTTTACTGTTTGCATTTACCTGCAGGTGAATTTGTCGTGTAGATGACAACGTGTTGTTGTAGGGGTGAGGGGAAGGCAGTGGTGCACCAGTTTGTTTACATCCCGGGAGGCGCTGGTGCCTACTCACCTGTTGAAACTGAAATCACTTATTAAATGTTTTCAAAAAAAAAATCAAAATGTTTATTTAGGTAAGGTACATACATAAAAGAGATTTTACAAAGAGTGGTGGATTTATAGTTAGGGCTAGTACATACAATGCCTAAAGCCACTATTACGCAAAGCGTTTCGGGCATAAAAAACTTAAATGACTAAAGCTTAATACTAATTGAGCATAAAGAGTAAAATGAAAACACGGAATGAAAACATAGCTGAAAAAGCAGCACAAATACAATTCTGTCGACAAACAGCGCTCTTTAAAAAAACAGACTTTGGATGACATTAGAGGGGTAAGGTAGGTTACAGGGAATTTGTTAGGTAGTGCTTCGTTTTTATCTTAAACTGGTTGAGAGAGGTACAGTCTTTAACATGGTTGGGAAGGTCATTCCACAATCTGGGTCCCTTGATTTGTAGAGCATTTCTAGTTTGATTAAGTCGTACTCTTGGAATATCAAAACTGTATTTATTTCTGGTGTGGTGCTCATGGGTTCTGTTACAACCTTCTATGAAGCTTTTGAGGTCAGGATTGGCATTACAGTTTAGCGTTTTATATATGTATAATACACATGAGAGAATGTGCAGTGACTTAATGTTTAACATATTCAGAGATTTGAGTAGGGGTACCGAGTGTTGTCTGGGGCCAGAGTTGGATATTGTCCTAATAGCAGCTTTGTGTTGAGTAATTAGAGGACGTAAATGATTTTGGGTAGTAGAACCCCAAGCACAAATACCATAGTTGAGATATGGATAGACGAGGGAGTAATAGAGAGTCACCAGGGCAGGGCGGGGTACATAATATCTGATCTTAGAAAGAATGCCAACAGTTTTTGAATGTCTGTTATTTTCTTTTTTTTTTTTTTTTTTTTTTTTTTTTTATATATTTGTGCTGCTTTTTTAGAATGTGACCCTGGAAATTCAGCTTGTGGTCAATGAGAATGCCAAGGAATTTGCCATCTAATTTGTTATAAATTTGGGTATTGTTTATTTTGAGATTTATTTGATTAGAGGATTTATTGCCAAACAGAATATAGAAAGTTTTGTCAATGTTAAGGGTGAGTTTGTTGGCAGTTAGCCAAAGATGGACTTTATTTAGCTCAGTATTTACTGTGGCATTTAGAGCAAGGGGGTCAGGACTGGAGTAAATGAAGGTTGTGTCGTCAGCAAATAGAATTGGTTTGAGGTGTTGGGAGGCATTTGGAAGGTCATTAATGTAGATGAGAAAGAGGAGAGGGCTAAGTATGCTGCCCTGAGGAACACCAATGTTGATGGGTAGGGTGGGAGTTTTGTACATCTTGGGTTAATTTACAGTCAATTATTTACCCACTAAGTATGCGTATGATATATCAACGCTCTCCATGGATCGTTGTTATACACATGCTAATTTATTAGCGATTATATTAAGCGCATACATCAGTTTAGTTCATTTATTATGCACCCCATACCCATCTTGTGGGCGGTAGTGGAAAGGGTTACAGAGGCACATAATGGGCTCAGTGACTGAACCCCACAATTCATTTAGCTAAGCAAGTGACAATCTTGATGAGCTAGTTACAAAATTCAGTATAAATCGTCACGACAACAGTGGGTTCGAGATCGAACACAAGTACAGTTTCTAAATTAAGCAACTGACATATGTAGAGAGCTAGTGTCACAATTGACATTTTTATCCTGCACACCGCCCCCCCCCCCCCCTCCAGTGGGCAGCTGTGGATATGTTAGTTACTTAGTACCTACAGTTAGCAAACTGGGGATATTTGGCTAAAATGTTTGGTAGCAGATCATTTGCATACATCAATTATGTCAAATCATAATATATTATGATAGAACAGTTAACATCACTCATAACTTATACATGCTCTTCAAGAAATTAGTATGGTAAGTAAAGACCGTACCAAGTAAGGGAGTGAAACAAAAAGAAACAAGATGGATAACAAAGGCAGTATGAAACAGCTTTTAACAGTTAGTTGAAAGCTGCTTAAGACATGTTGCAAGAAGGTTTTGCAATGCAGTGGTTAGTGTAGTCGAAATTGAAATTGAATTGAAATTGAAATAAGTTTATTGAGGTAAAATACACACAAAGGGATGAGGTAGCTCAAGCTATTCTCACCCCATTCAGTACAACGTGTTAATATATACATAGACACACATCACAAATAAACATATTGCCAAACATTCTGAGAGGTAAACATATACATTTCCTCCTTCACAAGGAGTATGTTATCAGACGTACACACAAATACTTTTACTTTTACTTTTACTTTTATGATCTCCACATATAAGTTTCTCAAGAAAAGCGGTAATATTTTTCATGTGTTTGGATGTAAAGGCAAAACATTGATGTCATTTTCAATAATGTTATTTGCTCATCCGAGAAAGTTGATTTTCCCCGTTACGTTACATTGTGTTACAGAGGGCTAAAACTGGTAGACCGTAATATTCATATGGAAGGAGATGTAATGGAGATGGGCTAAGTCATACTTTTTATTTAAAAATGTCATTTCGGACTGCAAAAAGTTGATTTGCGTTACGTTACGTCACGGTACATTGTGTTACAGAGGGCTAAAACTGATAGACATCAATTATTTATATGGTAAGAGATGTAATGGAGATGGGCTAGCCCGCACTTTTCGTTTCAAAATGACATTTTGGACTGCAAAAAGTTGATTTGCGTTACGCTACGTTACGTTACATTGTGTTACAGAGGGCTAATTAGGCTGGAGAGGGGCTTGAACGGATATAATTATGTTCGATGATCTAAGACTGAGGAAATGGAGCTTGGTTAATGTCCAGATTAATTTTACTACGTTAGAAATAAAGCGATCTTAAATCTCAAGGTGATTTAGTTGGAAAATAAAGAACTTGTACAAAAAAATGAACTAAGCTGAGGGGGGGCAAGAGTTGAAACTTGATAACTGAACCGGTTTTATTTACTATGACTGAAAATGTAGTTGGTGTTCAAATCTCAGGAGAATTGGACTGATAGTAATAAATTTATAGGAGTGGACTTGGACAGAGGACAGGAGCTAGAGTTTTATAATTGTTTACATCATATTTACTATGAAATACAGAGGGTAGAAATTACAGTGAAATTGCTGGGTTATTTACAAATATACGAGAGAGAACTAAGTTGGGGGACGAGAGCTAGAGCTCAGTAACTGTCTTGATCTTATTTACTATCTTTGAAGTATGACTGCTTTAAATTTCAGTGAAATTGCTGGGTTATTTACAAATATACGAGAGAGAACTAAGTTGGGGGACGAGAGCTAGAGCTCAGTAACTGTCTTGATCTTATTTACTATCTTTGAAGTATGACTGCTTTAAATTTCAGTGAAATTGCTGGGTTATTTACAAATATACGAGAGAGAACTAAGTTGGGGGACGAGAGCTAGAGCTCAGTAACTGACTTGATATTATTTACTAACTTTGAAGTATGTCTGCTTTAAATTTCAGGAAAATTGATCTGTTACTAACGATCTTGTACAAATGAACTAAGTCGGGGACAAGAGCTAGAGTTTGATAATTGTTTGGATTTACTAAACTAAGTCTGAAATATAGAGGGTAGAAATTTCAGTGAAATTGATGGGTTATTTACAAATATACGAGAGAGAACTAAGTTGGGGGACGAGAGCTAGAGCTCAGTAACTGACTTGATATTATTTACTAACTTTGAAGTATGACTGCTTTAAATTTCGGAAAATTGATCTATTACTAACGATCTTGTACAAATGAACTAAGCCGGGGACAAGAGCTGGAGTTTGATAATTGTTTGGATTTACTAAACTAAGTCTGAAATACAGAGGGTAGAAATTTCCCGGAATTCGAATAAGTATTAACGAAGATGTGTGAGGGAAGTAAGGTGGGGGACAGGAGCTGGAGCTCGGTAACTAAATTACTGTATTGAACTACGTTTGAAATATGATTATTTTCTAATTTTAGAGGGGTAGGACTGTTAGTATTCATTATAGGGCATGGGGACTAAGGCAGGATAGGAGCTGAAGCTCGATACCAAATTATTGTATTTTAATATGTTTGAAATAGCTGTGTTTTAAATCTCGAAGAAAATCATTGGATACTAGAGAAGATGTATTAGTAAAAACTAGTCCCTGGCTTTGTTTATATAAGTAAAACTGAAATAGTTTTAATGAAAGGAACTATGAATGAATGAACAATATGAAGGAGAGAGAGAGAGAGAGAGAGAGAGAGAGAGAGAGACAGAGAGAGAGAGAGACAGAGAGAGAGAGAGAGAGAGAGAGAGAGAGAGAGAGAGAGAGAGAGAGAGAGAGAGAGAGAGAGAGAGAGAGAGAGAGAGAGAGAGAGAGAGAGAGAGAGAGAGAGAGAGAGAGAGAGAGAGAGAGAGAGAGAGAGAGAGAGAGAGAGAGAGAGAGAGATAGAGAGAGACAGAGAGAGACAGAGAGACAGAGACATAGACAGATAGAGAGAGAGAGAGACATGGAGACAGAGAGAGAGAGAGAGAGACAGACAGAGAGATAGAGAGAGACAGAGAGAGAGACAGGGAGACAGAGAGACAGAGAGAGACACAGACAGATAGAGAGAGAGAGACATGGAGACAGAGAGAGAGAGAGAGAGAGACAGAGACAGACAGAGAGATAGAGAGAGACAGAGAGAGAGACAGGGAGACAGAGAGACAGAGAGACAGAGACAGACAGATAGAGAGAGAGAGAGAGAGAGACAGGGAGACAGAGACAGAGAGAGAGTCGCGGACCCTGGCGAAACGCAATGGTGATGGCTGCCCCACCACTTCCGGTGTCGGAGGAGAAATACCCGGACTAGTTGGAAAGTTGATCAGTCGGGCTCCAACCTGCGACCAGTACGCTTACCTCGTCGCGGAATAAATTTATATAATATGTTTACTTTTCCCTCGTTATTGCTCTCACCATGTTGATCACGTTGCGATATAGCTTACACATACTAAAAGGTTTTGCACAGAACAATG